TGTAACTTTAATGCTATTGAACATCACAGAACAGAACCAACTTGTTTAATTGAAACAGCTGTTAAGATTCAATAATTTCATTTCTCATAAGGTTAACTTGGGAAACTCCAGAGCCACTGGGGCGGAGCCCGAAAGGATTTTTGAAATAAGAATATGCCTATATGTTAATCGGGAATGTGAGCTATCATCATGCCCAATTTCAGCCCAATCCGACCAGTATTTTTCGCGTTCACTTGCCACAAACATACATCCATCCATACATCCATACATCCAAACTTTCTCATTTATAATATTAGTAGGATTAAATAATTTAGTCAGCTGAAACAAGTTGGTTCTATCATAGTCAATAGCATTAAACAGTTATACAGTTTACCAACAGAGTGCAGCACTATTCTGTTTTTTGCAATTATGATAACAGCTAATTTGAACAGCATCAAAAAGCTGTGATACACTATGAGAACTGTCAAAGTACGATTGTTTGCATGTTTATTTTTTTTAAATCTATAAGTATAAAAGAGGATGTTTGTATATATATATTTGTTTGATTGTTTGTTTGTTTGTTTGTTTGTTTGTTTGTTTGTTTGTTTGGCAGTGATAAACTCAGACACCGCTGAACCGATTGCCACGAAACTTGGTACATACGTGTAGAATGTCATGGAATATGTCTATACACCATCAATTTCGTGATCCGTCCAATCGGCTCCGCCCCAGTGGCTCTGGAGTTTCCCATGTTAACCTTATGAGAAATGGAATTTCCTTATGAATCTTAACAGCTGTTTCAATTAAACAAGTTGGTTGTGTTCTATGATGTTCAATAGCATTAAAGTTACAAGGATTACCAACAGGGTGCAGCACTATTATTTCTTTTACATTTATGACAACAGCTAATTTGCAACCAAAAGGTGAGTGAGCGTTGCGAACGAACTTCAACCTGGAGGCGAGTTAGCGTAGCGAACGAGCTAACCTGAAGGCAAGTGAGCGCAGCGAACGAGCTCCAACCTAAAGGTGAGTGAGCGTAGCGAACGAACTTCAACCAGGACGTGATTGAGCCATGCGAACGAGATCATCTTGAAAATTAAGAAGTTAAACGGGGCAAAGCCCGCGGGATTATAAATAGTCAAAGGCAAGACAACGTCTGCCGGGTTCAGCTAGTTTAATATATAATTTCTGTTATTGTGTGAATGTTTGATAATTTGTAAATAGGCTATAAAGAACCAAATTCTCTCAAGCCTTATCCTCCCCCATTGCAGACGTAAAGCTAGAGTATAACTGCAATAAGCATTTTATACTTATACGCTTACCCCGTACGAAGAACGGGTACCTACTCTGCTAGTTATTTATAAGCCAATCATCGGTCCTAGGTTAAGAACACGACTTTCGGCTTTTTAAATAATATTCGATTACGAATCCTTCTTATTTTAATCTCTTAGTAAGTAGACTAGTCAAACGGGGTAGTCATGTTCTAGCTTCTCAAAAATCGCTGCGAGAACCTATAAGCAGATACACAGCTTTCTTTGATAACTAGCGTGGATTGCAATCGTAGAACCATCCTTTTGTTTATGTTTTAACTAATGTTTGTTTTTAGTTGAAGATAATTTGTTTATTATGGCTTATTTCTTTTATAATACGAATAAATACAGAAACTGCGATGGATTTAGTAGATGTCGAGGCTAGTGACACCTAGCGGAGACTAGACGAACTGTTGCGAACCTCGATGTCAGTGACATCTAGCGGAGACTAGACGAACTGTTGCGGGCCTTGATGTCAGTGACGACGGCGAGCAACTTTTTGGGATCCCTCAGAGTCTAATGGTGACGTCACTTAACTATGGTATAGTATCGAAACGATTGTAAAACTCTCACCCTACACTAGAGTGAACTGAATAATTACCCTAACCGAAAGAATAATTATTAACACTTGACATGGACATTTGCATTAGTCCGTTGCATAGTCCGTGTTATTCCGTTCAGGTGGTTGTTTCATTGTTGGGGTGAAGAGGAGAGGCTGCTCATCAAACCCCATCAAACCTCCTAAATCTTGAGGACAGAGTATAATACACTAATTGATTGTATTGAGCAACTTACTAATGCCACGAATGGGTAAAATGAATTCCCTTACACATTACATCATCAAAATATGTTTTGTTATAGAATCATTTAAAATATGTACAAAATACAATTATTCCAAAAACTATCTATCACTTTACCCTCTTTTACTTTGTCTTTGTCTTTGCCTTTTTTTGTGTGTTTTGTGTGTTTTTCACCTCTATATCCTGCATTGTCCTTCCTTCGGTTTCGGAAAGGTAGAAGTAGAAGAAGGTGAACCCGTGATCGATGAACAAAAATCGATGTGTATATTATTTATATGTATATAAAAACGTAATAACCATTAATATTTTACGAGTATTTTAAACGACAAAACTATTATGAGATACAATTATATAGGAACATGTTACTTACAGGATGAAAGATAAACCAATAAATATCAAATCAAATATGACATTTTTTCGAACTTTATAGTAGGTTTATTTGTCCTAAAGTAATGTGCTGTCATTGATTATTTAAGTAATACTTTGTAATAATTTGTACAGCAATTTACTCTTTGTATCAGCTTGAAATGACTTGCTTTTATAATTTTGAGGACAATACGTCACAAAGCACGGACAAAATCAAGAGTGTTTCATAAAAAAGTTGTTTGTAATATTTTAGATTACATTCCTTTATGGATTAGCTGAACACAATTTTAAGGGAAATTACTCTAAGATAAAATAAAACCTGTAGTCAAAATTAATTCCAACACAAATCAACATGAACTCTGCAACAAGTTTAAAATATGTCTAATATAATATGTCTGCTTATACCATTCAAATTCAATACCAATGACGATCCTACACTCTATCGAATGTCACAACTCCAATCTAAGAATAGTCTAAGAAATTTCAACATTTCCAAATTAACAAAATAATCATTTTATTTATTTAATCTTTTGACTAAAGGTTTAAGTATGGTAAGCTGATAAATAAGACATCAACACGTAACATGCATCATGGTGACGTGATTAAATAGAAACAAAATGTAAAAATAAACGTAGGCCGACTATTTTAGCGCTGTGGCAAGGCGGTGATCGCGGTATTATACAAACGCCTTAGTTTTTGTGGCTACAATCTGCAGTGCGTGACTGTGGTAGAAGCATCGTTACATTGAAGGCGCTAACCACTCGCTCGTTTAGACAGATTCATGTTTCGATTATAATTTTTTTTTTACTATAGTTTTTTTTACATATAACTTATGTCTGTGTTACACATAGTTTTCTGTCTATTTCAGTTGGTTAACAATACTATCACAGTGTAAAAACAGTTCAGTTTGACGTGGTTACAATGTTTATACAATATATCAGCAATCTGACACATACTTTCTCCCAGCTCGTCAACAACACATATCATGTGTGGTGGGAGTAACTATGATAGTTGATGGGGAAAATCACATAAGTTAAAATAACCTTTGAACCGTAATTTGTACAATAGGGGTTGGATAATTTTGTTCGGAGTTAAAAAGGACTATAAGCAAGGGAGTGTGCTTGATGCTATAACGTACTAAAATCGTTCTAGCTTTTGTTGAAATCCTTTATTGTAAGAGGGTGAAACCAAGCAAGCGATGATGAGAGTTCGTATCTAGTTGACGCCATATAAAATGTATAAGTATGCTTACAGTTCATTCTTTTAACAAGATCTTTCTTTAACTTGTGTCCCATGTCTTTGACGATATTTCAGAGTCAAACCTGACGTAATTCAATAAATGCAATGTACAACATTATTTTTAAATGTCAAAGAAATTCCAATCTTGTTTGGCATTTTATTTTCTATTACTCTGTGTGGCTTATCCTTTGTCCTTTGTAGTGTAGAACCCAACACAACAATGTAAACGCCCACACAAGTACTCTTTACTCAAGCATCTCTTCCCCCTTCTCTCAACCACCCCCTCCCCAATTCTACCAACTGTTGATTCCTGTGTTATATTGTATCTGAGATAAATACAAATTTATGTAATATTTTATTTTTTTGTGTTGTGGCAAACCCGCGGACCAACAAACTGCATACTATTGAGTAAATATCCAAAGTACAGAACTTCATAGCAAAATTATTTGTACTGTATAATTTTTCTTCTTCTTCCTCTTCCTCTTCTTCTTCCTCTTCTTCGTAAAGTTCCAGTGGGCTGAAAACCTACTGTGGCTGTTTTAGGACTTTGTCCTCTTCAACCATTCTTTGTAGATTATACTTGTACATTACACAAGAAATAGCCATCATCTCAACTTACCACTTACAAGACTTACTTTTACACACAATAGCTACAAATATCTAAGAATAAAATTTTTATAACCCCCTTCTGCAGTAACAATTCCTATAAAAAACGCAAAACTATCCTTGATGCATTGATAAAATTAAAATGTTCTTACTCTGTATATAAGTTCTTGACCTTGGAGGGTTTATATATAAGTTTTACATTAATTTAATATCAAGGTTTCGGTTGTGTATTCCATGTCCATGAAAAATGTTTTAACGATAAGATGCCATTTTATATGATACCTACTGTTTAGTTACTACTATATTATTTTACAATGTCAATATTGCTTTTGTAGCTGAAATACATTACAGAAATTCTTTTTTTTCTTTTGGCATTTTTATACTCATCATTGCTCATACAGTTTAAGAAAATTATTTTACCATCCATAGTTAAGATTATTTTTGTACAGTCAGTTTGTCATTGGGAGATGAGGTTTGAGAGACCGTTCACATGGACGACATATGTCGGTGTCGGTTTATCACGTGCACAGCTGTCGTGTATTGATCGAGGAATGCGAGGTCCCCCCCTCCCCTTGGTGAAGGCCGGCTGCCGGTGTCGGGTAAACATGTCGGCTGGAGTAGTGGGGGTAACGACCCAACATCGGCGCCTGTCGTCTGTCTGTCGTCCGTTGTCTGCACTGGCACTGCAGTACTGCACCACTCCACGTACACTATACTGTAGTTCAGTTGTTTGTGCGCTAAGTTTTGACCATGACGGAAATAAACGTTGAACTACTGATTAGTTTAGTTGAAGCACGTCCAGTCTTATGGGACAAAACAACAGAGGAGTATAAGAATCGGATGAAATCGAAACGTGCATGGATTGAGGTGTTCAAACAGTTGAATGAAGAATTCGAGGAGATGGAATACAAGGAAAGGGAAGAATACGGTAAGTACTATTTTTATTAAAGTTAAATTGAATACAAGATTAAAATATAAATGTAGAATGGAAACATCGTAACATGTCTGTTGCTTTTGAAGTAGTATTTGTTGTAAATAATCCATGTAATGTGTATATTTCTGAAATACACAGGAAAATGTCAAGATTTTACAGTAGGGTATTGCCATGGACAAAAGAATTAAATATAGACTGATAGTAGTGCTGCGGGTTAGCATTTATTCTGGCGTCCACCACTAGGAGTGCCGTGTTGTTTCGACACACACCGCTGCAGCGTCAAGCGCTAGTGAGCGTTGCCATGACAATTTAGTAGTTGGAGTCAGGATTGCCAACTTTTGGAAAATTCCCCGGAATCCGGGAAGTAGAAGTTTGTTCCGTTATTTTTCCGGGTTTAAAAAATGTAAGGGGATTTTCGAAAAAATTGTTTTTCCATTAATTAAGGGATCAATTTTGTACTGTACCCATATTGAAAAGTGGATCTGGTCTCGGTGTTAGAGCCATCCCGTGTAGTAACGAAGTTATTTGAGACTGGGACGGGTGGCATCGTCCTGTAATCCAGCAACTAGGAGGTCACGAATTGTGAATATTTATAGGCATGCACTGTGGATGCGATACTCCCCAGTGTGGATTAACGTCCGCACGGGTAAGTACTACGACTATCCGCAGTACTATCATGATAATTAGACCAATTCGTAATTACCAAGGCAAAAATGTGGTTCGGAATTCGGATTCCACTATAAACTGTAAGTCCCTTAGTTGCCATTTTAGCTGTATGGGCTTAACAGCTGGGTCTAAGGAATGTCGGCCTTAGTCACTAACAAGACTACAAGATCGCGCCACTCATCCTACACTCATCTCCATTCATACTTGGCTTAATATACCTACTTTGTATGGTCGCCATTTCATAGAACGGTATTAACAGTATTTAAAATAAGACAAGCCTAAACAGTGGCAGTATAAAAATCGGAGTTTACATTCCTAGCTCAATGAAAAATACTCCATTTTTTCCATTAGGCCAAACGCACACTCTACATAACTCCAAGTTTTAGACCTGCGGCAGTTGAATACGCGTTTGTTGTAGTAGGTCAATAATTGGTGCCCAGAATAAGGTCGTAATAGGCTTTTTGTGTATTAAGAGTGCAAAGTACGTCATTGCCGCTCGAAGACTTGTAGTTATTAGTTAACCGCAGGAAGCACAGCTGAGTGTGGTACATTTCGAGAGCGGCAATGACTGTTTGTGCTCATAATCATAATACACACGAGATGTTTCCTACCACCATATTGACTTATAGTAACACACAAACTATCTTTTTAACTTTATATAAAATGTCATTAGGGTTATGTTTGGTTTTTGAGGTTATGTTTGGTTTTTAAGGTTATGTCATTTGCCTACCGCTTGACTAACCTATTTTGTGTTTTTCAGCCAGACTTGTCCAGAAGAAATGGGCAAACATCCGGGACGCTTTTCAAAGAAGCGAAAGGAATCTCAAGAAATCCATCAAGTCTGGAAACACAAAGCCAAACAGGTCCTATATTTATGGCGACCAACTCAACTTTTTGAAAAAAGTTCTACCACAATACACGGATGACAGCTTTTCAGATATTGGGAAATACGCTCAAACAGAAATGTCTGGTGATCTGGAAAATGAAGATGATGAGGTCAGTAGTAGTAGTAACACAGAAGATAACTTTGCTAGTGGAAGTGCTTTGAGAAAACCGGAGAAACAGAAGAGTAAAAAGATGAAAGTTGATCCCGTTGTGTTGGAACTGTTGGGTCTAATGAGACGAAATGATCGGCACAGTTCATTTTTTGCTGGTATAATTCCATCATTGGAAACCTTCGATGACGACGATGTCGTTGAATTTCAACTCAGGGTGTTGCAAATTGTTTCTGAAATTAAGAAACGCAAAAAGACTGCTAATCCCGCCAATTAGAACATCACCTCTTTGCCAAACTAAATGACATGGTCATAGTTCAAGATCTCAATATCTAAGTTTACAGCCAAGTCAAAATCTCTCTACATCTAAAAATCCTTCAACGTCACTACTGCTCAATACTTCAAATTGGTTGGATCATCTCCAAACACTTTGAGTTAACAGCACAGTTTTCTGATTCATCATTATTCAAAGATTTTCATTTTTAAATTAAGTTTTTGCCAGGTAATCTCTTACGAATGTCTTTTTCAGACATAAAAAAAACCACAATGTGCTTAATTATTTTTGTAAACTTGAGTACTGTATGTAAATATTTGTTAGTTAATTTCTTTCAATGAATGTCCTTTTCTGACATAACAGGAACCAAAATAGTGCTTGATTTTATTGTCAACCTGAGTACTGTCATAGACCTATTTTTGAGTAATTTTCTGATAATACGAAAAGCACGAGACAGTGCTTAATTTCTTTAGTAGACTACTTTGCTACACATGATAATTACTATCTAGGTTTATTAACAAATTTACTGTTACAGTATGTCAAAATATGTGTCTTCATTTATTTTTCACAAGGCCTAATTTTCATTACAATATTAATTTTAGGCAAATATTACGTTCAATGTATATACTAATTTAGTTCAACTACTTGTTAACCCACCTATTGCATTTTCTGACTTTCAATAAATCATTAAAACAAATCTATTGTTTTATTGATGGTAACCTTGGTGTACTGCCAACATATTTCTACTGGTTTGCACTAATTGTTGTGACGTTGTATGGAATCATTGATGGTATTATAAGAAGCGTCAAAAACTTTCAATACTCATATTAAAATAATTAAAGAATTGTTCACTGTCCTTTCTTAAGTTTTTGTTAAGTAATTTCAACTGAAGTTTTCAATATCACTAAACACACCTAAGAATATATATTTTTAGTAATCATTCAAATAATGAAAACTAGGAGAAAAGAAGGAAATCGTCCCCAACTCCTAAAAATTACTATTCAAACATTTAACTCCAATATTTTCCCCCTCGGCACCCACCCTTCGCAGATGGGGGAAGGGAACACTGTGTCATCGCAAGAAATAATCGATATGTGATTGTCACACTGGATGCTATAATGAATTAAACGCAGACCTTTAAAAATGGCCGGCAGTGCATGAGGATGGTGAATGGTGACTTTGATTCATTGTCAATCGTGAATGGATTAATAAAACACCAGGTGTCATTGTGTGAGATGGGGATGGGGTGAGTGGGGCGAGGGTGGACCTAACAGTGCCATGGGGAACTCCGCGAGCAGCAGACGAAGCAGGAGCCTGCCTGCCACACCGCAGGTCAACAATAGAAGGTAAATAAAAAGATAACTTTAAAGTTTGTTGGTGAACGTGTGTTTGGCATGAAGTGGAAGCTTAGGGTAATGCGTTTTCATTCTAGTGTGAAGCGCATATTCTACGAATATTATAATTATGGATGTATGGATCATTAACATAAACAAATTACGTCACTGAGCTGATAGCTCTAACAGCTGGTTTTGACGTTTTTGACAATTAATTAAAGTATTGATAAAACATATGTTTATTTAGCCAGTGACGTAATTTGTTATGTTTCTATGCAATTTGTGTTCTACTGTAACAGATCCACTCTCTGTGCATAGATTAAACTTTTCTTATATAATAATCATACAGTATTACCATTGGTTATACTTCCTTGTGGTTACCGTTTTGGATCATCTGATGACAGTTTGGAGGTTAGTTCCTTCCGGTTTTTGTGAAGGGGATTGTTGTTTACATTATGCGTTTCACATTATGTCACATTATGACGTTTTGACTTGATATTATGTGGTAGAGCTATCGATCTGATATTGCAAAATCTGAAGAATAGATTTTAATTTTTATCGTCCATATGGCTCTTTTGAAGACAATTTTAGCATTTAGTTCCTTCTGGTATTGTAGATGGCGTGTTGTTGTTTTTTTCTCTTCGTTTTTCGGCAAATAACTTATTTTAAAGTGTATATAAATCGATGGTTTAACCGGTAAGCCACGGACGATTTCGTGAGTTGTCTGTAATGTATTTTAAGACATCGTGATGATGAAGTGTCCATTAAACATTCCATCCTCGTAGCCTACGAAATGTAAACAAACCTGACCTCTCTCTTCACCTTTGCTCTTTTATTTCAAATCATCGTTTATTTTAGTTGGCCCCAAATAAGAGTATAAACCATGTGTAATTGTTAATTCAGCCTATTATTATTCTCTAAAGCTGAACCAATAACAAGTAGTAATAAATCAAAATCAGAAAACAAGACCACAATACCACTAAAGGGAATAGCTTATTCCCTATATGGGAAATTCGCTAAAAAAAGACAGGAAATTCTAGACGGAAGGAAGAAAACTGCTGAATGAATACGCAGAGGGGTTTTTTTTAAGAAATTATAAGCAGCTGAAAACCCTAACAAGATATTTCAGAACATATAAGGGGACACAATAGTTTGATTTAGGTCCCTCTAAAGAGGTTATGTTCTAAAAAAAGGTATCAAGCAATCGAAGTGGCATAAAAATTTCCGTGTCAGTAATTGAATAACAAACTGAGGTGGTTAATAAGAACATTTTCGGGCACATTTTAAAACTGAAGATCTTGAACTGTAACTTGATAGTTTCTAGAACTGAATATACATATTGTAAAGAATAAGTAAATATTAGCTGTTTGTTTATTTCATACAGTAGTTGAACAAAATGCACTTTGAAATATTCAACAAAAATTGTATTACAAGGTTGAGTAGGCCTGCCACACAATGAAAGATAATCCACAGTTGATAACACAAAAAACTGTTAACATTATATTCTTATATCACATCCTGCGATATTTCCCTATGCCACGAAAATAAAATGGAAACCAACTTTTGGTTCACTCAAGTATGAAACGAGCAAATCTTCGTGGTTTAAGGCATTGAACAAGTTAGTCCAATTATAGCAACCGATATAACAGTCAAGCTTTTGCTTCGGTCAAAGTTCGACGAATCTGATAATTACTTTTATTTCCTCTGTCAACCTTATTTGACAGTTATAGCACATTACGAGTGCAATTGCTTAATAGAACGGATGTTTACACACTTTACGGAACGGATGTACACTTTAAATTCACTTTTCTGAACACAGTTTATGTAGAACTCAGCAAATGTACAGCTGATATATTGTTGTCATATGACAAAAATGTAACAAATTTAAACAGCTGATTTTGAATCTACCTCACTCTTTGGATTAATTGTGACAATTTGTCTATCAAGAATGGTATTTTTTGTTGATTTGAAGCATAAAATACACTGTTTTCGTAGATAAACATACTCAATAAGCTATCTAGAAACATAAACTGTATGAATTATACGACATCGGATCTTAATCTAATAACATATCTAATTTGGAAGTGTTTCCGACAGTTCTAATTGACTACTTTTGGGTCAGTGACGACTTGATCTTATGAGCCATACTATTTTATCTGTTTTATCCGTGCTATAAACTTCAATAAGTTGTTCGAATTTTGACACTTGAGAAATTTGAAAAATCTACAAATTTAGATGAAAAAGTGTGTAAGCCCAAAGATGTTTTTACTATATCAACTAATATATTTGACGTTAGTATTTGTATATTTTTTATCAGTTCGCCCCCAGTTTTGGTTATGTGTTTGAGGGGGTTGATAATGAATGCAGCCTCATGCACGGTCCATGGAACATTAGGGGTTCATGCATCCCTTCTCTCCCCTAGTCAATATACTGCGCTAGGAGACCCATTCCACTTTCTTGGTGCATTTCTCGCATTTAGAATTCTCAACTAGCTTCTACGGTCAAAACTCTTTCTTGGAATAATGGTCAGAAAAGTAACCATAGGAAGTTGTTTAGCTAGAAAAAAATGTTTAAGAATAAATTATAAACATACTAAACTAATGTGAGGGGTATTTTGTCGTGCGGAAAATATTTACAGGTAAACAGGAAACATTTTGTATTGGTGTTGGTGTAATTGTTTTTTTTCTTTTTTTTCTATAGTACTGTATATATTTGATACTTTCTGGGTATGACAATGCCTGTGTAAGTTTCAAACCGAATTCTTCATTGCACAGTCATTATTTTGAACTAGAGTATGAAACATGACTACGCCGAGGAAAACGTCATGCTTAAATTCGAGTAATTCTAGTCATATAAATTTAATTTTAGTCATATAAATTTATTTATTTAAGCGTGTCAGCGTGTCTTATTAAGGTCTACAACCTACACGGTCTAGGGTCTACCACATTATTTCCATTTTTAGAAGGAGCTGAGACAACGATAGATTTTGTACTATCAATTATTATAGATACCAATCATTGATATGGATTGATATAGACCTATGTGCGTATTTTAACCTAAATCAAGTTAAGGATGAGTGTAGAATGGTGTGAGATGTGTTACTGCATATCAGCACAGAAAATATAGTACGTATAGTAAACCTGTGCCAATGATCAGGAACAGCTGGGTCCAGTGTCCAGTTTCGAACATCAAAAAGCTACTGGCTTTTCTCGGGATCGATCTGTCGACCTTTTGACTGTAGGCGAGAACTATTAACTATATCCACTCGGCTACCAAACCAATCAATACGCACTGCTGATACTGTGTGTGTACTCTGCTTGTTCATACGAGTACATACACGGGCACTGCGTCGAAATACTGTGCGGAGGCCAGGAATCTATGAACTTCCATGAATAATTTAAACATTTATTTCTTATACTTAGACGATTTTGTATTTTGTTGCAGGTTGCCCGCGCCTTTCCACGGAGGCGCAGCCGGAGCCGGAGGAGTAGCCACAAGTAACATACCCGCCCCTGTACATCGGTCGTCTATACCAAGTGAGTTAAAATACTATATTTGAAAACAAGAAAGAGATTTCGAGATATAATGATTTTAAAAAAACCCATAGGTCTACTCAATGAGATTGTAGAATCAGAGAAGTGTACGCAGCATTAAGATAAACCGGAATATTATCGTGGATTCGGATTAATATTCCCCACTCCAAAGTAACAGGTTTGCTCAATAATTACGAAAGCCAAGCCGATTCAGCAGGAAGCAGTGAATGTATACAGTGTTATACAGTGTGTGTAGGTTTGAGTTTGAGTTGGCAGTGTAGTGAAGTTGGTGGGAGTCGAAGAACAAGAACTTAGTGTGTGTACGTCTGTCTATGGAGTGAGCGAGCAATGCAAAAGGTGGAGGGGGAGTTGTGTTGTGGGTTTTGTTTTGTTTACTGGAAGCTGGAAGGAGAAGGAGATCGAGATCAAGCTGAAACGCTAAAAGTTGAGTGAAGTGAAGTGGGAGTTTAATGGATCACAAGAAGACATTTAAAGTTTGTTTGATTTCGGAAGTTGTTTCGTGTTACAAACTTTGGTATGTACACAAGGCATTTCAATTTTTCCCCGTTATTTTTGAGCTGCTTCTTTGTCATAAATATGTAAACAATAACAATAACTTAGTTAGGTTACGTCAGGCAGGTTGTTTATCTTCCAAGATCAAACTGCACCTGTCACTTAATTAGACGCTGTTTTAGGATTATGAGAGAATTTAATGATTGCTAAGGATTTGTAATGAAAAATAACTGTTGAAATAAAAATTTTAAAGGCTAGAGAGAAGCTCTGGAAGAAGTAAACAATTAAATAATTCAGTTTTAAATAGTTTCAGTTCCAATTTTAAGGTTTTGTAATTGTTCTGTCCAGCTAGTTTAGACCCCCCCCACACACAAACTTTCGTTATTTATTGTTGATTTTAATCTGATAATATAACAAATCTAAAGCCAATTTATCTTTGACCATAGCGTTAAACAAAAATGATTTTAGGCCCCAGCCTATAAACTTATGTTACTTCAATAGAGTTTTAAGCTGTGACGAAAACAAACTAGGTTGGTAGTAAGTTTAATTACAGGTGTTTTAAATTATTGGTTAAGTTAGGGCCTACATGAAACAATCCTGCACAAATAAAAAAAAAAATAGGTACTTAAATAACTTTTAAGTTAAAGTTTAAATACCTAGGCCCTACCGGTAGTTATCAGAAGGACCAAATGTCTTAAAACTTTGAATCTTAACTTAAGTTTGTAACAATGTTAAAGTGCTTACACATTGCTCTCGATTAAACGTTGATTTAAGCGTTTACACATATATAAGTTAAACAAGTAATACCGGTATTTTATTTTAAGTTATTTAAGCCTACCTAACTTAACTTACTTTATCTTTAAGTTATTTTATTTTCATTTGTCTAAATTATCTATGCCAGTGGCATTTTAACGAAGTTACTTACTAACTTGAACACTTTTAAGGGAAAACGGTCCCAACCTAAAACTTTGGTGGATGTGCCAGGAATTAAACCTGTCACTCCCTCTCCGAAGTCGGAGACGCTAACCACAAGGGCTAGCATCACACCCTGTTTTTTTATCCCTTTGAAAGTGAAAACTATAGGCCTAGGCTACAATTGTTGTCGTTTCCTGACTTAGGTAACAGTATTTACTAAGTTAGGCCTAGTATATGTCAACTACTATGTAACACAGTACCTAGCTAACATATTTTACAAGATTAATAGAGCAAATTCTTCTACTGTATAATGTTTTGGTCTATAAGAAAATTAAAAACAGAATTTGATAACTTAGGAGACCAAAAAGTGCTCAAACACTGAAGCAGTGCATGGGATTGTTTTAATCCCTTTGATCATATTGTAGCCTAACAGTGTTTTCCCTAGATAATATTGTTTCAATAATAATCAACTTAACTACAGTAACTTAACCCTTTTAAAAATTTTAACGTAATAAGCATAAGTAACCTTTTTAACGGCTCTTCCTCTCTGTCCACAGTTGGTGGAAGTCCTTTGAAGTGTACGTCAGCGAGCAGCTCGAGGTCTACAAGTCCTTCACACTCATTTATTCCCACACCTCGGACAAGGGTTCCTTTAAACGACAAACATATCAGGTAGGATACATTAATTAAAGCTTTGGAGGGTTGTTTAGTGACTTTTTTGTGTAAAAACTAGCTACGCTTTGAAGGTTAAATTAAGACTGTGTAAACATCTAACAATTTTGGGAGGGAATCTGTTTTCCTCACACCACTATCTAAGACGGTATGCAGTAGCCACTGAATTGACTAGAAACAGGCTACAAAGTTTACTCATTATAACTTTCCATTAATTAAAATATTGCTTAGAAATATGTTGGCCTATACGGCCTAAAGCCTTTGTCAGAGAGATTTTGCTTTATTACTTATACAATTTTGTACACGAATGAGTACAATGGACCTATAGGCCTATTTTGAGACTTATAGGCCTATTTTGTTTTTCAGTAGTGGCCACAATGTCTCCAGAACTACTGGAGGAGTCAGCAGCCCGTACTCGAACAAATCGTCTACGATAGACAAACTTAAGCTGTACAATCCCAGTGATAAAAATAAAGTTGGTAAGTGATGTCTTTATTGTATGTTAAATCACATAAATTAATTGTCTTTTAAGTTGTCAGTTTAGTTTTTGAGGTTTGAAGTGAGAAGAAATTGTCTTTAAAGGCCAATCTCCAACCTTAATATTCAGCAATTGCAAAAACAACTAGATTCCTTTCATTAACTTTTTCTGTTCATTAGCCTACATTGCAACAGTTAACCATTAAGCATGTTTGAAAATCACCAAACTACTGTATTGTATTTTTACTAGAGTTTAATTTTTCTTATTTTATCTGTTCCAGCTCTAGGAAGTACCAAACGGACTTCCAGTTCCAGCGGCTTTAGCTCAGCAAGATCCGAGCGCAGTGATTCTTCAACCAGTCTGTACAATGATGCAAAGTCAACGTAAGTCGCTCAGGTGTCTTTTATTATTCTTTGTCATGAAAAAGCGTATACATAGGTAGTTAAGTGAATTTAAATTGAATCATAAAGATATTGCACATAAAATTTAGTCTTTAGTCTTCACAACATATGGTTTATATTTACTTTGATTGCCCTTAGTCCGCAAAGACGTAACGTTTTATGCAATTTACATTTTGCCATACCAAAAAAGTACAACAAACTTAGAAACCACACCCCTTATCAGCGAGAAAAATACTGAAACTTCTAGTTCAGTTACAACTTGTTTAAATAAAACGCTGCCACCTCGTACAACTGAGTTGATAATGTGTCTGTAAAATTGTAAACTTGCAGGTGTTTTAGTAGAGACTAGAGTGTAAGAACCAACACCAAAAAATTAAGGCTAAACAAAGATAAATAGGCTAAAGAAATATCTTGGCTATGTATCTTAAGAGTTGTAAAATGTTTTTTCGCTACAATACCTACAATGAAATGACTAGTTTTCATTACAAGTTTATCCCCCGTGAAAATTCATTATTAAATTGTTTACTACACAAAAAGAATGTTTACTATGCGAAAGTGGTGAACTATCGTTTTTTATTTTGGCTACATAAACAAAGATTTGTTATTCTTTTGTCAATGGTTTCAATTTGCAACAACCAAAACTGTACAACGAATGTAAATATTAACTCTTAATTGAAGGCATAACCTAAAATTGCTATCAGTTTTGTAATATTCCTAATGTAATAAAAAAAATATCTACCCATTGTCTGTTTTGATGTTTAAAAAATTATTTTTGTAGTGCAGCAAAATGTAATATTTAAAACATGAGTGAAAGTGGGTCTGTACATATTCTCAACCATATTTAAGGTGCTCAATAAAGCTCACACTTCAAACATATGGTCTCAAATATGTAATAACTTATTTTCTACTCTTGTTATGAAATATACTATTTCCATCACATTGTAGTTTATAACGAGACGTCTAGATCTCACATTAGTATGTTTGGCCATGACTCCAATTATTGCCAATTTAGCTTCTGTGATTTGTCTTCTGATTAAGCAGCATTGTTGGTTTTCTATAAATAGGCTTCTACAAATTAAGATGAATGAATAACCGGATCAGTTAAGATAAATGTCTATGAGATGTTGAGACTTCATTTTTCTCTGTTCTAGAAAGTATTGCTTAGAGAGTTATGTTTGCAAATAAACAGTCTTGGGAGTAAGGTTTTCTTTTATTCAGCCTAATCAGTAAAACATATTGTAGGCTAATGGAAAATGTTACCCATTAGTTTTGTGGTATAATTACTAATCATCTTTCAGTTACTTTTTTTAAATTTATCAGCATAGCTTAATTTAATTATTGGAAGGAAATTTATTGATTTATTGCTCACATTTTGTACATGAGAAGGCCCTTCAAGTTTGCTAGATTTAACATAGTGGGGGAGCTACGTATATCAAAACTGCAAATTGTGATAAGAAAACCCCTTTTGGTAAGAATGTACGTTATGGTCCGACAACTAAAATAAGATGGGGAGGCATTGCCTAAAGTTGTTATAATCCAAAATGGCGGCCATTTTTCAAAATGGCTGCCCGTATTTTGTGTTTACTTAGTTATTCACTAATAAAAGCTTGAAAATGGCATTAACACTATTAAATATTGGTATAATCTTAATCTGGAGATTCCGGCCTTTAATTTAATACCAAGTTTGTAATACATTACAATTATATCATCTCTATAATCTAAGGCTGAAAAAAGTACTCGTTTTCAGCCAATTCTGAAGGTCACCAAAAAGCTGTTTATTTAAGGGTTATGTTATTCACCTACAAAGTTTTATTTACAACGTGTTTTTCACCTTTGCCTGCATCCATTTTGAGACATAAGGAAAATAAAAATACCCCCGCCGCAGCAAACCTGCAGACTAAGCGAATTGCCATTTGCCTGATTTGATTTTCAATTAAACGTATTTAATTAGCATTAGGTTTTATGAGTACCTAGGCTTGCTGCTACAGGGAGGGTAAAAAAGTGTGTTTTTTAGTAAAATATTAATAACTTAGTATAAAATATATATATTTACCAAGTTCGATCAAAATGTATACATAAACAAGCAAACATTTTACAACATTCTCCATAAGAATAACATGGGAATTTTAAAATAACAATTTTTGGAATTTTATCCGTAACCAATAATTGTACAAAAACACTTTTATACACTAAATTATTTGTTTTTAAGGTCTTTGAAAAGGTCTGGAGAGAAATTGGGACATGTCGTGTTTAGAGGGTCGAAAATTGAAGAAATCAATTTTTACCCCATAAAACCCCCCGTAAAATCCCGTTCCCATGGACCGATCTTGCTGGTTCGCGAAATCATTCAAGTTTATCTTACCTTACACCTTCAAATCAAATTTCATCAAAATCGGACAAAAAATACTCAATTATCGCGTTCACGGACACACACACACACACACACAAATATATACATATATAAAAATTTGAACGAATGGTATTTATGGCCTCTGGGGACATTAAAATGAAAAAGTAAATCGGTCCCGGGCCTAGGTCTTACCATGCCACCTACGGTAATAGCTACTTCCCTATAGGCAAAATAGCTAAAAATGGTGTTGGTAGAAATATTCTGCAGCTTATAAAATATAGCGTGTTTTTTATTTGGTGGTATAAATTTACGTTTATTACCTTATTACTGAACTTATTTACTTAGCTTATACCTTAAAACCTAAAGATTGATCAGAAACACCATTTTGCATGATGTATATCAAAAGAAAATATATAAAACCCAAAATCCGGGCAGCCATTTTGAAAAATCGCCGCCATTTTTATCATAGCAACTTTGGTCGGTGCCTCCCCATCTCATTTTCATTGCCTAACCTTAAACTACATTCCCACCAAAGGGCATACTCTTATCACAATTTGCAGTTTTCTTATGGTTTTTTTACTTTAGCTCCCCCACTAACAGTCCTAATTAGGCCTACAGTAAATAAAAACTTCACTGTTAAAAACAGAAACTATCGTCTGTTTTAGAATCCCAGAGAAGAAAGAACCAGTTCAAAACGAACTTAGTTTGAAATCAGGATTGAAAAAGAAGGTGATTAAGATCCCCGGAGAGACCAAAGTCGCTCGGACCCAAAGCCGAACATCGGTGACAAAACTGATTCAGCCGTCGAGTGTGACGGTGAGAACAGTGAGCGAGAAACCTGCGACAATCCCAGAAGCCCCTGCGGACGACAACCGCCAAACTCCCGCTCAGGTTAGGGTTGTAAGTAGGACAGTTTTGTTTGTCTGTTTTATATATTAAGAGGAAGGTTTTGGTAATTTAATGAGTCTAAAATGTTTTTTTTTATGATAGTGTTTGAGTACAGTTTTTACTCTTTGTGTCCGTCATTCTTTTATCAATTTACTCTTAACTTTTGTCTAGTTTTAATCTTTTACTCTTTGAGAACAAAAATATCATAAGTAAAACCGCCTAAAGTATTTTCAAACAAAAACAAGTCATACAGTCTATATCTGCTATCTAAATCCGACTCTTCTCAGCTGAGTTGATGAAATTGTCACTTATTTTGATAATGGAACATTGGTTCCAACAATATTCAATCTTATTTGGTAATTGTAACCCAAGGAGAAATTAGGGACTTAAGAGCATTTCTCAGTCCCTGTGTGCTAAAGGGCAACATAAAGCTGTTTGGGTCCTGTTTGGAGAATTTACACTTTATTTGTTTAGTTTTTTGGTGTGGTAGTTGATAAATGTATTGTAATATTTTTGCAGCCATTTAATAATAGTTGGCTAAATTTATTTGTGTATTAAAGGATGTCTAATTAAATGCTTTTGACTCTTGGTTGTGTGTGTTAATAGGTTATTCCACATTTTATCCTTTACAAAAACCTTAAAATATCTAGATTTTTATCTTAGTTGAAAAATTTTATTTCAGGAATCAGCAGAGGAAAAACTTACAAGCGAGAAGATGGGTGAAGAAGGTGTGAAGCCAGTTGCGGGTGCTAATGGTGCGGGTGAGGCACCCAAGGGTGGTGTGGTGGCGGGTGCGGGTGGCAGTGGCATACCCAAGCCTACACTGGCAGTGAAGGGGATGACCAAACCTACACACACGGTAGCTCCGATGCCACAGGTGCCGCAACCCGACAACAAAACTGCGGATCCAGTAGCTGAGAAGGTTAGTTGAAAAAAAGTACACATCGTACTGGGTATGATAATTAAGTTTTAAGACCGATTACAACCAATGAGTTGATAATTTAGTTTGTGTTTTGATTTTGTTATTAGCCTGCTAGTTCTATACATAAGCTTAACAATATCAATTGTTTTTTTTAAAAGACGTTTGAGAGAAACTAAGTTAAAAGTTAAAAGGTACTTACTCTGCATTAAAGCTTCCATGCATTCATTTTTTCTATGCAAGGTTCTACACATTCAAGGTCAATGATAGTTATTGGACATTTCAGGTTAGGTTTACATTATCCTAAATTTCAATTTTCCCCCAGTACTCAGCCACTACTAACTACCGTGGACAATTGGAAGTTTGTAATTACTAGGTTTACACTGAAATAATGATGGCATTTAAAGATTTATTTCTTACTAGCTGTTGTACCCGTGCTTTGCAACGGGAAGAGGACACAAAATGCAAAAAAGTTAATAGTACTGCAACCTGTTGGTAAACCTTATAACTTTTTAATGCTATTTAATATCATAGAACCAACTTGTGTAGTTGAAACAGCTAACAAAATTCTATTATTCCTTTTAAATATGATTACTCATAAGGTTAACATGGGAAACTCCAGAGCCACTGGGGCGGAGCCCGAAAGGACTTTTGAGATAAGAATGCGTCTATATGTTAATCGGGAATGTGAACTATCATCACACCAAATTTCAGCCCGATCCGACCAGTATTTTTCGCGTTTACTTGTCACAAACATACATCCATACATCCATACATCCAAACTTTCTCATTTATAATATTAGTAGGATGTCAAAGCAAATGTAAACAAACATTGTTAGTGTTCTCATTGCAGCCATGGAGGCCAATAAATATTTACCTTTAAAATGTTCAAATCAGAACTTTTAAAGCCAAAGGGCCAAAGCCTACGGTCAGTATCGAAATGTGAATAGTCCTATAATGGTCCTAGGTATAGTAGATATAATTTTGTAAAATTTAAGCCCAGTTGGTTCAGTAGTTTTTGCACCTATTAGTAACACACATACAGACACCATTAGATTTTTATATAATAGTATAGATTTAACTTCTGCAGGTATCTGCCAAAGTAAATAAATTCCAGAAGGTTCTTGGTTTCCTGGGAACGAGCTCGTCAAAAACTAGAAGAAACACTAGTTGCTGATGTTTCGGCTTCGTAACGTGTTACATTCGAAACTAGTTTCAAGGACTTGAGTTCCAAGGTCGTCCAGAAGAAACCACTGAACCAGCACACATGGTTTTTTTTCAAGGAACTCCTGCTTTGAGGCTACAAACCAATAGTGAATTTTTCATGTGTTTTGTATCAGCTGGTTGTCAACTGCAATGGCCATGCCAAGCAGCCATCACTGGGGGAAGACGAGGAGGCTACAGAGGTGGTCAAACCTATGCAACCCCTGCTGCGAGGCTACAAACCTTCCCACAACATTGCTATCACTGCCAGGCCTCCTGTCGACCCAAACGGTTAGTTTGTCTTAAGCTTTAAAGTATAGTTTTAATATGATCGTAAACCTTTGAAGCACTATGAAAAAATAATGTTGGCTTTTTTGAGGTTAAGGATGTAATATAGAGCACAAGGATTATATGTTTCAGGGATTTTTGTGAGGCTTACCTGAATGGGAATCAGTTTATCAGGCATAGGACAAGAAAAATATGTTGTCCAACTCAAATTTTCCTTGTTTAGAAAAACTATTAGCGACTGTGGAATATTACAATTTTTTATTTCTTGTACCAGAGTGGACTCTCTTCCATTCTTTAGCGCTTACATCATAAAAATATTTGGTGTTTTTTTGTTGATTGATCCAGGGCCGGATTTAGCATTTTTGCGCCCCTAGGCCCAAATAATTTTCCGCCCCCTAGTCTGGTCACAGTTACTTTCCTTCAAACCTTTATTAAAAACTATATCATGCCCATAGGCCTAAGTTAGTTGCTTGAATACCACTCATCGTCGGAATCATTGCAGGTTTTTTTTTAAGAATTGACTTGTTTAGTCTTAACAAAATGCCGTCTTAAACACTTTTAGAAATTTAATGCTTTTAATAAATGCTCACGTTTGTGGCCATGGGACTGAAACAAAACAACTCAACCCACGGAGCATTCCTGCAAAAAAAAAAAAAAAGGCCATTGATTCCAATTCCAGGCCCAAAAACATGAACTCCATACAGTACGTGATACCATAGATTAAACATACTCCTTTAGTAGATTTGTCATCGTTTAGGATTAGCCTAGCTGAAAACAATTCTTGTTATTTAAGGAGTATGTTTTATCTATGTTTAAACTTAGTTTATCCAAAATAAAACAATCTAATCATTAACAATAGTTCGTCTCCTGTTTATAGTAGCCTACAAGAAATTAAAACACACAGAACTAACCCTAAAATAATAGAAACAAAATTACGTCAAAACTAACATCCAGTGTCACCAACATGAACTAGACATGAAAAAATTTTGAATTAACAATTTCATAAGAAGTCGACTTGAGTTATATTTAATCTATGGTTGTACTGCATAGTCTAGGTTATATTTCCAAAGCAAAACAGAGCAATATTCCGGCCAACCATACCGATCCTTAGGTCTGAGGAGAAAATGACAGCATTAATGCTTTGGAGGGTATTGGATTTTCCTAAAATCTAATGCAAACTCAGATTAATATTTTTTGTAAATTTTAAAGGTTAATTCATCGTTGTTTTAATATTCAACACAACATATTATATATTTTGATTACTTATTAACTTTTGTTTTGTGAGGTGAGGGTGGTAACAATGTCTAGCACGCATGCGCCCCTAATCACTCTGATCAGTAGTACCGAGCCCGATCCAGCATAGTGAGTGGCAGTGCAGTGGCAATACGATGCGTACCCTTTGGGCGCTCATCAACGTCAACATCCATACAGCCTACTCCCGTATAACCAATGTTCGTTACCAATTTTGTAACAAAATTGATGCGTAATTCGGAAAAATTGTTTAAATTTCCTAACAATCATTTCTTCTTATGAACCTCAGAATCACAATGCATTATTAAACAGAGTTTTTTTTATCAACTATGACTATTTATTTTTAGATATAAAAAAAATTTCCTCTCGGCCGTGCGCCCTCTAGGACCTTGCGCCCATAGGCCCGGGCCTACCGGGCCTATTGGGAAATCCGGCCCTGGATTGATCTTATCAACCTCAAATTTTCAAATTAAATACACTCCTTTTTGTTCGGCAAGATAATTTGTGGTTGTTGTGGTCGGTAATCAGCTATGGTTTCTTTTATCTAGTAGATAGTTTTCTCTAGAATGTTGATAAAATGTTTGATGATTATTTTATATTCTTCCAGTATTAAATGCAATTTTTGTTTATATAGTAGACAGATACAAACATAATATGAAACCCTTTCTCTCATCCAGTAGATAGTGAAAAAGAATCTCACTTTGTTCAAATGTAGGAAGATTGTTTTCTAGTATAAAATACTGTACAACTATTTACATTTAGACAGAGATAAAAAATACGAAATCTACTAAACAAAGAATTGTTCCATATGAGTTTTCAACTTTTGACATCAATCATCTAACAACCATAGAAATTATGGCCCTGTTGACTAAGCCTAATGTTTAACAATTGCTTATCAATGACCAGTAACTAGGGAATATTTTATCATAATACTCGCCCTACAATTATTACTGGTTAAAGGCAGTTTTAACATGTGTTTTCTTGTTTACAGGGTGGAGAGCGACTAGTCAACCGCCAGACTCCAACCGAGCACCAGCTGATGGTGACTACTATGCTACGTTTAACTCTTCAGGTGTGTGGATTTATTAAAAAGCTGTATAGTTTAGTGAAGTCAGGCTTGTGCAATTTCCATATTATTCAACCTCCAGTAGTATTTTCAATCAGTTTGGAATCAAATATTATTTTTTTGTTGTGCGAATTAAGGTTTTCTTTTAAGAATAGAGTTTAACTATATTACATTAACAATGTTCATGGGGTTGAAAGACAGAGGAAAAGTCACACAAGCTGAAAGTTGGTTGGAAAGAAACCAATGTCTTCTTAAGTCTACCTTGCTTTTGTGTGTGCCTTTTTTTATTTGTTATACCTATTTTTTACTGAATAAACTAAACTTGTTGTCTAACACAAAAAAAATTAATTAGTTCTTTACTGAAAGAACCTCTCACCCTCCTTTTGTACAGATTGAAGCTTAGTGTCATGATCGTAACTGTTGAATGTGTTTTCAGGTTATGTATCAGACGGAGATCTACTCAGCAGAACTAAGCCTGACATCAATGATGGTTACATATCCGAAGGTGGAGCCGTGCTGTATGCTCAAAGGTCAGTGTTGCACAATTATATAATTATTATCATGATTGATTGTAGATATTTTGACACACCTTACTTACTTACTCCCATGGCCGTAGTATACCCTAGGTGGTATTTGGCCTCACCAAGAAGTTGCCTTCATCTGAATCTTCTTGTATTCCTCTCAATTTCCACAAATCCTTCTCCTAGTGGTCTTTTCAGCGATTCTTGTGTCTTCCTTGGGGTCTTCCCGTTGGGTTTTGCCTCCGAAATTCCTTAATAAGTTTCCCATCTTCCCTCCTAAATACATGGCCTGCCCACCTTAGCAAACTAATGCTAACTGCTCTTTGCTTCTTCTACTATGTTTGGGGAATGGAACATTTCTTTGATTTCTTGGTTGTGCCTAATTCCCCACCCTTCTCACATTGACACACCTTACACACATACCTGTTGAATTCTTCGAGTTAGACAGTTTTATAATTATGTGCATGATTATTTATAGATTATTTTTTAAAGAAGGTCACCTATCTAATTCATCTAGCCTACAGTAGAAGTGCCAGCTCTACAGGCTATCTCTTACTCGATTCATCATCTTCATCTTGCAATACAAGTCATCTTATAAAGTGCCAGTTCATCATTTTCCAACTTATTCATCTACAATACAGTACTATCCTTCTAGTGTGGCCACCCCAGGACCAGACTACAAAATGGCTGGACTAACTGGATGTATTATCGTGCAACTGATTGGGTATGCACCTGTCAACAATACTGACATGAATTATTTACTTCAATGGCTGTAAACTAAATTCAAAGTTAAATCTTGTCGAAGGTCATTCGTCCTTGACAATGTGACTCATTTCTCTGAGACCATCTGGTGGCCGATCCAACTGAAGCCTAACTAGAGGGAGCCTACTGTATAAATAAGACTCAAAGGGGCATCTTCTAGCTCAATCATGATAAGAAAATATCTGAAATAAAAATATAATAATTGTTTTAATAAAAAAAATTACATATACAGGGCTATTCAAAAAAATGGACCCAGTAGCATGACTTTGTATCTCAAAAACTTTAAATCAGGATAAAAGTTTTACACCATAAGAAAAAGTTTTTTTTACACTGATTACAAATGCTCAATATTGCCACTCTGTTCCGCACGGCAAACATCTAAGCGATGGCCGAATTTGCCCCACAAGTGAGACAGCATCTCTTGTATCACTGATTGCACAGCTGTAATTTCTTGAAATTGCCTAAACCAAAGGTTTATGCTTTTTCTAGCCGTTGGTTGCACTGTAATATTAGGCTCAGTCTTTGCAAACTCTGTCACACAGAAAATCTTATGCTGCATAACCATCTTACTAACAACTGATGGAAAAAAATTGGCTGCCCATTGTTGCGATAACTTTTTCAGCCGTTTGCGGAACTATGGTCAAATAATCTTTGAAATTTCCTCAGTTGAATGGTGTAAGTTAATTTCTGCCCGATTTCTACTGTTTTAGATACAAAGCAATGAAGTTCGGTCCATATATTTGAATAGCCCTGTATTATGCTGAATCTTGAATTGCAACCTATTTGAGATAGCTGTAGGAGTCGAGAACCAAGAGTAAGAGGTATTAAAATGCAAAGGGAACGAATTGACAAGTTCTTAAAATTGCCCGGAAGTGGGGATGGGAAACCTACAGTTTATGCCAGGTGTAAGTTACGTTCCTCCCTTAAGTGTAGGACTACTATGCTTTGCCACTGTGAGAGTAACAGCCCACCCTTGAGAGTTTTTTGGTCAAGGAACTTTTTTCCATTTTCGGGGAAAGCTTAAGATAGATTGTCAAAAGATGGGCAGATTTGTTTGGTTGAAGAAATTAGCTCCAGAAGCTAATGGTAAGTTGAAAACCGCTTATGAGGATGCTGCCCTAAAATCAAGGATGCTTTAAAACAAGAATCTACAAGTGGTTTTTACAATTTTTAACTGGGAAAAATATAATTGAAGATCGATCTGGTTCAGGATGCCCCTCATCTCAGGAAGTTCAGTTAGTTCATGTTGGCAAATCTAATGCTTTAGTTTGTGAGGATCGTTGAATCAAACACTTTATTAGGTCCAGAATATAAAAAGATTTTGTTCTAAAATTTCTATCCGAAGATTCACCCATGAGAATGAGTTGCAGCCAAATTTGTCCCTCTCCTTCTCCCACTCAAGCAGAGAACTTCAGACAGTCTATTATGAAAAAGCACCGGCCTATCCTGCTGTCTGTTTTTTTTTACTTTTTTATTTTTATTTTTCTTTATTTTTTCTACTTTTTTACTTGTTATCCGAAGAATGTCTGGTTATCTGAGGGAGGTCTGGTTATCTGAGGGAGGTCTGGTTATCTGAGGGAGGTCTGGTTATCTGAGGGAGGTCTGGTTATCTGAGGGAGGTCTGGTTATCTGAGGGAGGTCTGGTTATCTGAGGGAGGTCTGGTTATCTGAGGGAGGTCTGGTTATCTGAGGGTTGTCTGGTTATCTGAGGGTTGTCTGGTTATCTGAGGGAGGTCTGGTTATCTGAGGGAGGTCTGGTTATCTGAGGGAGGTCTTGTTATATTAGGGTTGTCTGGTTGTCTGAGGGAGGTCTGGTTATCTGAGGGAGGTCTGGTTATCTGAGGGTTGTCTGGTTATCTGAGGGTTGTCTGGTTATCTGAGGGTTGTCTGGTTATCTGAGGGTTGTCTGGTTATCTGAGGGAGGTCTGGTTATCTGAGGGTTGTCTGGTTATCTGAGGGAGGTCTTGTTATCTGAGGGTTGTCTGGTTATCTGAGGGAGGTCTGGTTATCTGAGGGCTAACTTAATATCTGAAGAAAGTCTGCTTGTATGAAAGATAAATGTGTAGGAAAGATAAATCCACTATTACAGCGATTGTTAGCTTTGTCGAATCTGTCATTGAGTCAATTGACAAGGGTGAGCCTGTGTTGGGAGTGTTCATGGATTGATCGAACGCGTTTCATAGCGTTAATCATTAACTATTACTTTTTTTTTGGAAAAAATTGGAATCAGGAGTAACTCTCTTAATTGTTTTAAATCATACTTATCAAATAGACAACAGTTTGTTGAAATAACTCACATCACTAAAGACAATTATAAATCAAAATACATTTCAAATCTGGGCACAATAAAATCTGGTGTACCTCAAGGATCGGTCCTGGGATCTTTGCTTTTCATTTGTTACTTAACAAATTTTAAAAAGTGTCTTAATTTTGCCCCATGTGTATGGAGATGACTCAAATCTTGAAGTATCTGGGAAAACTGCAGAAGATGTAGAGTTGCTATCCACAATAGAAATAGCTTGTATTGAGGATTTGTTGTAATAATCACAATTTAAAATTAAATGAAAGTAAAACTAAATGTGTCACATAAAAAAAAAACAATTCCAATCCTAATGTTGAAGTAAATAACCAACCAGTATTGACATTTTAAAAATGTTTTTCCCATATTCAATCCCATATTAATACGGAAAAAAGAATATTGAAGTTTTGCCATATTTATCTTATGGCATATGTGTATATGAAGCCACCTCAAATTCGTAGTAGACCAAATTTGGACAATACAGAAGCAATCAATCAGAGCAGAGCTATGTTAAAAATGAACAAAGATGATTCTGCAAAAGAACACTTTAAACATTTAAGAGTCCTCATTGTTTATGGTTTGTATGTTCTTGACTGTATTATGTCAAAAACAAAAATTTCATTCCACCAATTAAAGAAAACAACCATAACTACAATACACGTATAAAAAATAACTTTGTAATTTGAAAACATAAATTGGAGCTCCTAAAAAAAGACTGTCAATGCAGGACATGCATTTTTAATTTATTCCTTTGAAAATTTAAACAGAACAAAAAATCAACATAAAAAAAATGTCTCGAGGAATATTTAATGGACCTGTCCTTATACTCTTTAGATTAATTAAAAATGGCTTTATCATAGTTTTAAGAATTAGTTTAAATTTATTTGACACTATTCATGACAAAGGTTCTTGACTATGACTATGGCTTTGAGGGATGTCTGGTTATCTGAAGAATGTCTGGGTGGTTATATTAGGGATGTTTGGTTATCTTAGGGCTAACTTAAAATTTGCTTATATAAAGGATATCTAGTTATCAGAGGGCTAACTTTATATATGAATAATGTCTTGTATCTGAGGGATGTCCAGTTATCTGAGGGATATATGGTTATCTTAGCAATGATTGTTTATCTTGGGGCTAGCTCAATATCTAAAGAATGTCTGGTTATCTGAAGAATGTCTGGTTATATCAGGGCTAACTTAATATCTAAAGAATGATAACACTACAAGTCATCTCTGATAAAGAGACATCCCCTCAGATACCGACCTCCCCTCACAATTAAAAAACATCTCAGATATGTTCTAGATGTGTTTTGTAGTAGGTACTTAACATTTGCTGGTAAATATTTTGTTGTGTTTAAAGTTAGTTTTAAAATCCAATTAGCCTAAATTAATAAAGTTAATTTATTTTCTATGGGCTTAATTAGTTAAGTCATATTTTTAAGGCAACTAAATACCTTTTTAATGCCTATCTTGGTGAGAATCGCATTACCCATCCCCTGTGAATTGGTACAAAAAATTACAAATTTACTACTTTCAAGCTCCATATCTCCCTTAATATTTAACGTAAATTGTTCTACTCATATAGAGTATTTGTATTTATAATTTTTAGTATAATAATGAATAAAAAATTCAAAGATCAAATCTTTGGGCAAACGCCAATTAGCTTATTTCGTGAATAATCAATCCATTCCAGTTATACAGGGTCAGGCAAATGTCTGGAACCCCCAAGGTAACTTTTTAACAAGTTGCAGTAGGAAAACTAAACTCGGCACATATTTACAACATAAGAAATTGCATTTTTTCATCAATGATACAACTTTGCCCCAGCCCCCAAAATGGGGTATTTTGGGGGCAGCCCCAAATATTCAAATGTAAACACCTATCATGTGACCGCTCATTTTAAAGGGTGTATCAAGAAGAATTAAATGGCGCAAACTAGAGGTCAATATCGCACCCCTAATCAAAATGGCACTAATTTTTAAATAACCCCTATCAACTTTTTAACAGGTTAACTAAACTCAGCAGTTAATTAAACAGGCAGGAAAACTAAACTCAGCATACCTTCATAAAAAAAGAGTATTCGAATTTTTGGTCAGTATTAAAAGATTAAATTTTTATGATTAACTGGACTGTCCAGCCTTTCTCTTGTTTGCTCATCTTAAATAATTAAAATGGCTGCCATTTTGATTAGGGGTGCGATATTGACCTCTAGTTTGCGCCATTCAATTTCTCTTGATAAACCCTTTAAAATGAGGGGTCACATGATAGGTGTATACATTTGAAAATTTGGGGCTGCCCCCGAAATTCCCCATTTTGGGGGCTGGAGCAAAGTTGTAACTTTGATGAAAATTTGCAATTTCTTATGTTGTAAATATGTTCCGAGTTTGGTTTTCCTACTGCAACGCGTTAAAAAGTTAACTGGGGGGTTACAGACTTTTTCCTAACCCTGTAGAAGTGAGTCTTTACTCATTTGGTGTAAATTTATTGGCCACTTAAGCTTAGGAATCCACAGGCCAGACTTTATTAGGCTTCTTCGGGTTTGTTTGGGTAAAAAAAATGTTGACCTTTGAGTTTCGAGCCCAAATCGGGTCGGTCCAATATCAAGATCGAGTTGCTTTAAGTAATGATTATAATATCGGTTTTCAAAATACCCTACATCACCCCACGCGATCGCGGTGAAAACGAAAACATCTCCCGCAGTGTCCGAGACATCACCATTGTCTCTAGCGTTTGCGAGGACGACGTTTACATCTGCCGTGATCGCGGCGAAATAGGAATCACCCCCCGCGGTCACTGGGACTACGATATTAATTTCGCACGTCCGTAGTTCTGCTACGGACAGAATGTCCAGTCGGCCGAGGAATTAAGGAAACTGGAAATCATTCACCGGTTGATGTTGTATGAGACAGAAAAAAAGTTATAAACAATCGCTAAATGTGTGGGTAATAATTTATTCTCGGCTTCTGTTTGTTCTCCCGTTACGCCGTCGTGTCAAGTAAACAAAACTGCGATCGCGGAAAAATATCACGACGTTGCCGTGATCGCGGTGGATCATCGTGAATTTTGCCACGCTTCTTGCTTTCATAATTTTCAACATCAGTTGTTAATCTAAAAAGTGATGAAAAACAACAGTATGATTTTTTACACCACATTCAATTTCGTTCAGAATCTTTGCTTTGAAACTTTACTTATTTTGAATTTGATTTCTAAGGCTTGCTGGACACGTTGACTAGTAACTAAACTATATCTTCACTGGATATTTTTTATTCGCCATAATTCTTCCAATTATATTATTCGGATGAAACTATCGATCATATTCAGTCAGAGAGTAGAACCAACATATAATTAATTGATCTTAATGTTGTCCAGTGACATTTTATCTTGTTCTTTCTTTCTTTTACACGTTTTCATCGTCATCACGAAATGGTTGTAAAGGAGTGAAAAAGTGGCATAGACACAGGCGTCATAAAAACATTTGGACGATTGCCAAAACTCCGTTAACATTCTCAATTTGCGTCATGTTACTACACTGGATTTTAGAACGTAAGCCTACGGATTGTTTAGAATTAATTGTTATATACCTAAGACAAAGAAATGAAGTTTTTGTTGCCACTTCGTTTTAGAATATTTAAGAATCAATTGTTATTGTGTTGTTTAAAATTTGTACAAATTGTTATAGCTAATAACTTATTATTACGAAGTAGTTACTGCTAGTTCTATTTACAAGTGGTTTTTGATTGTTCTACCAAGACATCGCTTTTCATTACTTTAGTGCTTGACCGTTTGACTACAAATCCAACTTTTACTTAATATAAGTTATAAAAGCAGGCATTTACAATTTTTTGCCGATACGAAAAACTGAAATCCGAACATGTTACAGCCTAAATTAGTTCGAATTCAAGGGGTTTTAAACTGTGTAGAACAATAGCCGCTTCGAGTTTTTACCGTTAAAAGCTATCTCGGCATTTCCTTGAGATCCAAACGCTAAAATTTAGTAAACTATATTGAAGAAAGGCCTACCATATGCGTCATGTTGTAACATAACCCTAACTAGATTTATGTATTTTTCCTCCAGAAGCTAAAATTTACAAAATGTTAATAATTTTGATTTTTTTTTCTTCTGTGAACCCTTTAAAAACATCTTAAAAAACACAGTGTTACCTGTAAACTGTTAAAAATACTATATACTATGATTTTCTCACTTCATATCCTAATTCCCATCGATTTTCAAATTTAATCAATCTTATCGAAAATCGATAGTTAAAAAACTACCCCAGTTTCAGTTTTCGCGCGGGCAAGTTGGCAACGGGGCGGGCGTGGTTGGTAGGCCTGCGTTCATCATTGATTAAGTCGCCCCTCGGCCCGCTGCCGTGTCAGTCTACTCCCTTCTTTGTTTATCTTTCTATCTCGAATGTGACTCACCATGTTAGTTTAGTAAGTACCACGATAGTTTGTGGTTGTTTACAACTTTTTGTTGTCTTTACAAGCGGTTTTGTTGTCAGAACGATTAAGTCGTGCTGGTTGCGTAGCTCCATCGAAGGGGCTGTCTAGTGTCTGGAAGGATTTTATTGGTGTTATATTGATTTCTTTTTACTTCTTGTTGACTCGTTTGGAGTGTTTGCGAAAAATTGGTTGAGTGTTTACATTTTGTTTTTTTTTCGTTTGGAGTTAGTAGGTAAATTTTGTCTTGGGTGTTGTAAATGTGTTAGTTAATTAAATATTATTTTTATATTATGAGTTAATTATTTTATTTTTTTGTGAACAAAAAGTAAATCAAATAAATAATGGTGACATTTTTTATAAATTTGAAATTGGATATACTGTAGCTGTTTAGGTAACATGTGGTACCATCTCACTTTTAGTTGTTATAATTGTTGACATTATGAACTGATTTTCTCCTATATTCCACAATCTAAGTTTTTGAAAATTGCACAAAATATGCAATATTTTTTGTAATAAATTATTTTTTATTTAATAGCTTTTTACTGTTACAGATCTAGATTCGAATCTAGACTTGGATGTAGGCCCATGTGTGAATATATTTTGTAATGAAATTCCTCAAATAGTAATTTCAATGTTACTATTATTATGAGTAACATTTAAGAACCATTGACATAAAAAAAATTTTAAAACTCAGTAATTTCAAATTCTCCTATTCTTTAGGGTTTCTGCGATGTGAAATCGAGATCAAATGATAATGATTGTGTATGTCTTGTACAAATACTTTTCGATTTACAAAATGCCGGGTTTGAATGTGCGGGAGGATTAAATTCAAACTTATTTTAAATCTGCACTGACACTGACCATTTGGCAAATGATAAATGATAATGACATTGGACAGTTTAATCTTTCACAGTCATCTGTGGAGTCTTTCATTCATACTGATCCCTAACATTCACACCCAGAGCTCTGTGTTTTACAGTTTACATATAATGTGTAATAATTTAGCTTAATTAAGTGGTTTTAGTTGTTTTTACTTACTTTTTAGCTTTGACTCTATATATTAGTATTTCAGTGACTTTCTCATTTTATTTCTTGCTATTAAATTAGTTTTCATTAGAAGACATAGGTTCCAAACAAATTTATTTATTTTTAGAAAACATTTAATGTATTTAATTCATTTTTTATTCCTCTGTTGTTACAATATTGTCTGATTTTAAATAAGAAGTGAATTTTTTAAGACATTTAGATAAAAAAAAGTAAATAATTAGTCTAGTTCTTTGGTGAATACCTTGGTGTAAACTATAGAAAGGCGTTGCAGAGAGAAATGTTAAAGCATATGAATTTTCAAGTTTGAAATCACAATTAGCCACAGTGTTGTTGTTGTTGTTGTTGTTGTTGTTGCATCGTTTGTTATTACTACTATTTATTTGCTTGTTATGTTATGTATTTGTTAGCACTCAGTATCCATTATTTTTTTTTAGCATGTAAATAGTACCTAGCCATCTTTCTTGTATTGAAATGTATAATGGTTCTGCCGTTGGAATGAAATAAAATAAAAATAAAAAATAAAACAAGTATTCCAAGTGCTTCCAAACTTATGATGATGTCAGGTCAAATTTTCATTTGACTTCTATTGTCGCAACATCTTTTGAAGGGGATGTTTATTGGAAAATATATGTTTACTCACATTGTTATGCCTCAATATTTTCAATGTTTCTACATACATTAACGATCCGTGTCCAAAAACTGAGGATGGTTAAGTTATTTTTGTATGAACTTTGGTTTTGTTACATGTTATTGCGGGTGAATACAATTTTCCTTGCCCATACTATATTTTTTCTTGGGATTTAACATAAAACTGCTGAACAACCTTTGAAGTATGAATGTATGTATTTGTTGTTAAATCGTTTGTCTTTTTGCAGGATACAAAGGGATCAGCAAAACCTATCAGTGGACCCGACAAGAGGAGCCAAGCCTAGTCCTAGACCTCAGTAAGTAAATTATTAAATCATTTAACATTACTTATAGAATGTGTTTGGTAACGATGGATTAGGTAGGCAGTTGAGAGCTTTGCTTCTTACTCCAATCTACACTATTAAATTAAAGTAGTTCCCTTTGCATGTGTTTTTTACACCTAAGTTGCTTAACTGACTTGGTTAAAATTTTAAACTACTAAACCGGTCTGGAAATACATCAGATGAGTCATGTTCTTGCATCTCCATTAGACGTCAGTTAAGAATGTCTAACCTTATTAAATTTCAATAATGTATTGGCCTCTGGATCGTTTGAATGTACAAATGTTGTGTAAGTAATTCAATTAATCAACATCTTTATTGAGACTTTAGTAAGAAATGCAGTAGTATCATTTCATTGCAATTTGAATTTCCATCTTACTTAACAATTTTGTTTGAAGAACTTCTTTCCTAAATTACCTGGTTACTGTCAAAACGATCACGTACTCGTTCAAAATGAAACAGCCGTAGTCGTTTGAACTCCACAGGATCATTCTGACAGTAACCAGATAATTTATACCGTCATTAGTTAGGGTTATCTCAGACTAAGTTTTTTGTGGTGGGTGTTTCAATGTTTTTAAAATATATTTTGTTTCCAGAAGAGAACTGAAGGGTGGTCGAGTAGTGAGTGATGAAATAAAAATCCTGTCGTCCGAACAAGTTCATCATTTCAAGGTATGTTTTAGCGAATTTCCCATATAGGGAATAAGCTATTACCGTAGTACTCATGGTAAGACCTGGACGCGGGACCGATTTTTTTTTTTTCATTTTGAGGTCCCTAGAGGCTAAAAACACCATCCGTTCAAATTCATATATATATATATATATATTTATATATATATATATTTATTAATAAATAATATGTAAAATAACATGAGTACCCTTTTTTTATATTCTTTTTTATTTAATTTATATATATTTATTTATATATATATATGTCCGTTAGCGCGATAACTCGAGCAAAAATGATCCGATTTTGATGAAATTTGGTACAAACGTGTAAACCTACGTTTATTCAAACGAGTTCGCGATCCAGCATAATCGGACCATGGGAACAGGGGTTTATGGGGGGTTTTATGGGGTAAAAATGTGTTTTTCCCATATTTTACCCAAAAAACAACAAATTTTGCAATTTCTTTCTAAACCGTTTTGTAGAGCTTAAAAAAAGAAATAATTTAGTATATTGAAGCGCTGTTGTATGCCTAACGGTCACGGAGAAAATTTAAAAGTAGTTTAATTTAAAATTCCCATGTTATTCTTATGGAGAAAATAAAATTTGTTGTAGTTTACTTGTATATGGATATATATTGATAAAATTTGGCAAATTTATTTATTTCATCCCATACTATTCACGTATGGTCAAAAAACACTTTTTACCTTCCCCGTAGCAGCAAACCTAAGCACTTGTTAAATCTAATGTTATTTAAATAGGGAATAAATATGTCTTATTTATAGAAATATTTGAGTAAAAATGTAATCAGACAAGTTTAAATTCGCTTAGTCTGCAGGTTTGCTGCGGCGGGGGTATTTAAACATGCTGTCATTAAATTACAGTAGAATCTCGATTATCCATGGGTGGATTAACCATAATAAACATTTAAATTTAAAAAATATTACGCTAAATGTACATTGTACAACGACAGTCAAGATCAAGTATCTAACAAATAGTTTTGCTTACAGCGAGGCAGCGGGCAGGGTCCTGGCGGAGGGGGCCGGGGAGGGGGACAGCCAGAGCCCCCTCTCAGCCCCCCTGAACCTACTCCTGTTGTTTACCGTGTCGTAGGATCTCGGTCACACGTCAAGAAAGCCGACAGCAGCCAACAGACGGAGAACAGTGCCTTCAGGTAAAACGCACACTAAACTCCCACAAATAGGAAGTTTGCTTAGTCACACCACAGATAAGTAAGGTACAGAGGAAACATGCAAATGGGTTGATACAGCTTTCAGCTCTAGTGTGTTGTGCTGGAAATATACTTGTGACAAGCAAGGAAGAGCCCGAGTGGCAAGCAATGTGAGGAAATTTCTATCGCCCAGGGCACTGGGTCTTCCTCCACCGTGAGCGTTGTAGTACGTGAGGGCTAGGAAGTACCATTTATTGTTTCCTCTCTACCTTACTTCTCTGTACTTAAACAAATGTGATACATCTAATTTAGAATACACCATTAAAAATTGCTTCGACTGCACTTGTGTTTGCATATGTATGGCTACTATTTGTTTTTAAAAATTCATAATACATTCTCAAAACCCTTTTCTGTACAGATGATTCCCTATAAACAAGGGGTACCCTAATAGCGGTGAGAGCAAGCTGGCATAAGGGCAGAGTACGGGATTTAGTCCCCGAAATCCTTGGTTCAAATCCCTCTAATTACCAATGGAGTTATGCGTTAATGCCGTAACCCTCAAAGTCTAGCCCAAAAATATTTATATAATTGTTATAGGCTAAAGTCTAGTGTCCTAGGATTTGAAGGTGGGACATAAAAAAAAACCCAAAAGGTTACAGAATTCAGTTGCATTTTTTTCAGACTCAGACGGTTTTTTTCAATCTTGACTTTTATCAATCCAGCTGTTTATTAGCCAGAATTATTTATTTATCTCAATGTTTATGACACAGTTGTGTTTCTTGTACCAACAAATTTTTCTACACAAGTGATTAAAACTGTAAGCCTCCCAATGTTTTCAGACAAGTGTCATCCAGCCAATGGAAGAAGTACATGGATGGTATGGGTGGGGGTGGAGGGGGGAGCGCTGCGATGGGACGGGTCCCGGAACTGAGCAGACACAAGACAGATCTGGATATGTCAGTGAGCCGCAAGCCTTCACACAAACAACCCACTCACAACGGCCTACAGCGGAAGACCGACAAGAAGAGAATAACAGGTGTGTGATCGTAGACTTAGTTTATATCATAAACTAATGCATTACATGGGTGAAAAAGTCCACTATAGTCTGTAAGATGGAACCTGTCTCCTCATTCTGTTTAGCTGCCCTGGGCCTTAAACCATTGGCCAGTCCTCAGGTAGACCTCAGGTCAAGAGACAGACTCCATTATACTGAGTATAGGCACAAGAAACGTAAAAGTTTTATATTACTAGGGTTCCTTTGCAGCACATTTTGCTGCAATCATTTTTCAAAAATGTTTATCAAAGATAGGCTATAGGCCTACTTCAAAAACTGGAATATAGTTCAATCATAGGCCTACACATGAGAGCATACAAATGTTTGGGGAGTCAAATACTGACTTTTTGTGTTATATATGCCAATAATATTTAACGATTAAAATTATAAACCTTATGAAAACCTGCTCTATTTACTAGACAACGTTCAACCAAAATCAATAGATTGGATTATTATGGTATATTTTGTAGCTGTGATTTATTTATTTAGGAATAATTAATCGCTGAGCACTTTTCTGTTTTGTTAGTAGTTTATTGTGTTCCCAGGATCAAAAGAAGAACTAGTGCCAGAGGAGTTTACCAATGGGGATAGGAAAGGAAGGGAAAACAAGAGCAAAGTTCGAGGAGTTCCTCCCAATTTCGGCTACATCAAACGATCCATGAACGGAAATGGTAAAGGAGAACCTCGCACAGCTCAAGTGTCTGCTGTTCCAAGAACTAAGGTATTTGAAGTCTTAAATACTCAATTTAATATTATCATAGAATACCATTTTGGAGTAAAGTATTGCTGCTAGACTTTTTACTTATTTTTTAACCTATCTTGCCTCTTATTTCATTGGATAAGCTAGGCAAAAGTGATATACAGTTTTTGTTTTGTCTGATCATCAATGTGAGTAGATCCTTGTGCATTTGTTGATTTAAGAAGAATAGTTCAGGGAGTCCAGCCGATTGGGAACAGGGAAAACAGGGTGTCTAGTAGTCGGGAAAATCGGTATAGTCGGGAATTAGTATTGAATTTCAAAATGGTCTTGAAAAGTCGGCATTTAGTCTTAAATTTGATTTCAAAATCGGGAATTTTTATGATTTTGCCGGGATCGTCGTCTTCTGTTTACGTAACCGCAAAAGCCAATGATGATTGTCCTCACGGCCTCGGGAAATGTTCACGATTTTGCCGCAATAGTGGACGACGACGATGACGTTTCCGAAACCACGGGAGACAACGATGACCTTTCCGTGACCGCGGGAGATGACGATGACGTTTCCGTGACCGCGGGAGACGACGATGATATCTGCTCGGCCGCGGGAAATGAAGATTTTGTCGCGATCGCGGACGGCGACGATGATGTTTCCGTGACCGCGGGAGACGACGATGATGTCTACACGGCCGCGGGATATGTTCATGATTTTGCCGCGATAGTGGACGACGACGATGACATTTCCAAAACCACGGGAGACAACGATGACGTTTCCGTGACCGTGGGAGACGACGATGATATCTGCTCGGCCGTGGGAAATGTTCATGATTTTGACGCAATCGCCGACGACGACAATGACGTTTCTGTGACCGCGGGAGATGACAATGAAGTTTCCGTGACCGCGGGAGACGACGATGATGTCTACACGGCCGCGGGAAATGTTCATGATTTTGCCGTGATGAATTTTTTATTGCTGCATTATTTCTTTACTTGAACACACCACATTATCATAATACTACTTTATGACAAAGACAAAGAGTTGGTGTGGTATTATTTAGAAAATTTGGTTAAGCTATAAAAATTGGTAATGGTATCAAGAATCGAGAATCGATATATTTTGGTATCAACACCCACTAATTGTGGAAAAAAACTAGTCTTGAAAAATCTGGAATTAGTCTTGAATTTTATAATGGAAAGAAACTAGACACCCTGTGGAATTGAGTTTAGAATCTTATCTGTACCACATGTTGCTGAAATTTCTTCTGTAGCGACCGCTAGTGCGAGGGGTGGCGACCCAAGGTAATCCCAAATTGTGGGAGCAGGCAACCAAAGTTACCTTCTTGAGTACCAGCCCTAAACTGTTTGGCCTGGGTCACATATTTTTACTCCATGAATCATGATATCACAGCTCATCTACATTTCTTTCTTTCGAAGTTTTTTATCAATTATTTAAGATGGGGACGCCACTATGTGCGTATTTTAACCCAAATATGAGTGAAGGATGAGTGTAGGATGAGTGGCGCGATCTTGTAGTCTTGTTAGTGACTAAGGTCGACATGTTCCTTAGACACAGCTGTTAATTAATAGCCCATACAGCTAATGGCAACTAAGGGACCTACAGTTTATAGTGGAATCCGAACCACATTTTTTCCTCATATTTAAAACTTTTGGCCAAATCAGATTCCATTGCAAAATGCTTGGATCGTTAAACATTTCTTTTTTCATTGTGGATCGATTGATACTTTTAAATTTTTTAATCTCACTGAAAGCTCTCCTTGGTTGACTCCCAGATGGAACGAACGCAGAGATATCTTGATTTGTCTTTTTATATCGAAGAGATATAATATGTTTAGGAATGGGGTGTCTTAACCTAATTAAATATTTCTGTTAGACCCGGCCCCTAGGCATCTACAGTAGACTCCCTCTAGTTCGGCCACCACGGGACCGGACCACTGGCCGGACTACAAAATGGCCGGACTAACCGGATGTAGTGCATTTTACAAAATCAAAATACAAATAATAGTATTGCGCAATCATGATATGTTAAGTCATTAACCTTGGTTCAGTAATAAAAACTGTAACGTTTAAAATCACGTTTGCTTACTCAAGCAAAACATAAATTATACAACTCTGTACGTACAGCAATAAATCACGTAAAGAACAGAACAATATGAAGTCTAGTACTGTACTGCAAGCTACTGCTATCATAGTCAGCATAGGCTACTACTACATGTTGTTTCAGAACATAAAAATGTCAATAAAACATTAGATAACTCATAAAACAGCATAAAATCATAGTACTTAGTCTTAAAGATAATAAGGACAGTCGTAAAATAGGATAAAGATAACAATGGATGACATAAAACACCCCTTATACTTTCTTCTTCTTTCTTTGGTTTCTCTTCATCCACACATTCAACAAGTTGCCATGGTTACTAATCACCCAATCACAAACTGTTGTGAGATAGCAAGCGCACAGCAGACAGTTGTGTAAAGAGCAGATGATTGTCAGTGCAAGCGGATAGCTTGACGGAATGGGCACACGGAAGGGACTAAGGCTAAAGGTGTAGTGACGTCATATCTCTAGTGGGTAATGTCTTCTCTTGAGGCGACACGATTACCGTTACGAAACGATGTGATTTCAGCGGCGTTCGTGGCATAGTTGGTAGCGTTTCGGATTGGTGTGCAGGAGGTCCCGGTTTCGAATCCCGCTGGTAGCACTGACTTTTTGTCAACAAATTTTTCATATCAGCAAGTTTGGTTGGTTAGGTTAGGTTATGATAGTTTAATTTTATAATACTACATTTTAAAATTAATTTTATAATTAATTAAAAATTATAAGTAATTATTAATTAGATTTTTATCTTATATAGTTTTTATATTATCAGCAAGTCTGGTTGGTTAGGTTATGTTATGACAGTTTAATTTTAAAAATTAAAAATTTATTTTATAATTTTAAAACAATATTTTATAATTAAAAAGTTAATTTTATAACTAAAAAAAAAATAATTTAAATTATTTCAACTTAGCAGTTCTAGCGGCGAACGCTGACACTACAAGATATGTTAGCCTTAGTCCCTCCCGTGTGCCCCACCGATAGCTTGACCTTGAAGCTAACGATGCTATTTCTTTGTTCTGCTTCAATTTATTTTTGTCAAATAAACCGTGGTGTTTCAAAAACAATAATGGGGGAACCTACCGCATAAAAAATGGTCCGAAATATTTTATTATACATTGCATTTCAACACATTAGACTGAAGAAAAACTAGGAATTAAACTATAAAATGCTCTTGGTATTTTTGAGGTTATGTAACATAGTTGTTACATAGGTAATATGCAAAATTCACCCATAGAAGCACCCGTCAACTAAACTGACATGAATTGTTTACGTCTATGGCCGGAAACTAAAAATTTAAGTTGAATCCTGTTGAAGGTCATTCGCCCGTGACGATATGACTTGTCCCCCTGAGACCGGGCCGGACCATCCGGCGGCCGATCCAACCGAAGCCGAACTAGAGGGAGTCTACTGTACGCATTTGCCCCACTGTCGCCAGCCCAGAGTAACCCTGTCTGTTGCATAAGTTTTGAAATGACAATGGTTAATAATACAGTTTAAAGTTAATGAACTACTCATTTGTGAGAGCAGTCCATTCTTTGGATGAATGAAACTAGACGTTCCATTTTAAAATCAGAAACAGGTCACAGCTTTAACACGGCAACATGTTATCAACTTCTGTTACTCATCTTGAAAGTTATAAATCTTAAAATATTTTTACGCTGTATCTTATAAACCAAAGTGCACAGGATGAAAGTATTTATCTAAATAAGAAGTAGAACGGAATCAAATCAAATCTTCAATTATTTCTCTCCTTTTGTTCTTTGATCTGTAACTTCATCGAGGTTTTGAGACATTTAGTGAGATGTATGAACTGGTTGGAACTGGCTCGATTGTAGACCAATAGGTAAAAATTTATTTCCTGAAGATCGATTGTAGCTTCTCTCTCATTCGGATTATGTATATTCCCTTCGGAGGTCTTCCTCGTTCCGTTATTAATGTTGTACATTAACCTTGAAAACATTTAATAGTAATACGAATTTAAACCAAACTGGAATATAACTATTCTTTAAAACTGTTGTTTAAACAAACCAATATACGTATTTTTTTGCAATTAATTTAATGAAACAAAAATTGAGGAATATAACATAAGTCGTTTGCCACTAATTTCCAGACTGATGATTTGGCTTGCGGTACTGGATGAATGAATACATTTTACAAATTTGACTTCAAGTGGCCATTTCAAGAGTTGTTTTGTGAATTCCCAACTTGATTGTTTGGCAGATCCTGCTAGAAATCTTCAGCAATGCTGGAATCTGAGGAGAATCTTTTTCCAAGAAGTTCATCATTCGATTGAGGTTTTCTTTCATCAGTTTCCTAGGAACATTCACAAGTGTTCTTTCGTATCATGGAGGAAACAGCCTGATTCGATCACAGATTTCCCCAGAACACTATGTTGATATTCTTCATCGACTCCTAAGGCCAACTGTAAAGTATTTTTCCATGATAGAGTAAATATCCAGGGTTCAATCAGAGGAATGTGTCACAACCTCTAATCACATAATTTTAACATCCTGGATTCCATACTAAGAAATCAATGTGGAAAAGCTACGCAGAAGAAGATGAAGTCGGAGGTCTACGAACTTCTCAAGTAAGTTCTCAGAAGAGGAGTCACAAGGCAAGATGCAATCTAGTCAGGAGAGTCAAAGATTGCACAGCGATGTCTTGTATCCTAAAATCACAAAGGGCTTTAAGTCAAATTAATAAATCAAACGTTAATAACGCTGTAAACATATTTCAATTAAGTATAAGTTTCGTACTGTTAAATCTAATATGACCTCAACAAAAATAAATCTGCTTTCATGTCCAAGGTTTAAATGCAAACAGCCATATAATCTTAACTGTAAAATGTTCATTTTGTGTTTCTTCAAGCATTTATTGCATCAGACTATTGAATGAGTTCAAATTAAGCCTTACTTATGGTTTTTTGGTGCATCCCTTTCATAAAGTGGGCGATCTTTCATTTTATACTATACATCTGACATCGCCAATGATACTGTATGTCTGTTTTCATTAGTATGATAAATATTAATCATTATGTTTGTAGCAAACTTAAATTTTCTTACCTTAGCGATGTAGTTTCAAGTTAAATCATCTTTAAAAAGTCATGATAGGGATGCCATCGTTGGGAGTTTTTAAAAAGTAGTCGTAAAAGAGGTGTCTTCATCGGTAGGTATAAGAGAGGTGTCTTGATCGGTAGTCATAAGAGAGGTGTCTTAATCGGTAGTCATAAACTAGACGTAGTCATAATAGGGAGGTCGCAGTCGAAAACAAGGCATTGCTGTGCAATCTTTGACTCTCCTGACTAGATTGCATCTTGCCTTGTGACTCCTCTTCTGAGAACTTACTTGAGAAGTTCGTAGACCTCCGACTTCATCTTCTTCTGCGTAGCTTTTCCACATTGATTTCTTAGTATGGAATCCAGGATGTTAAGATTATGTGATTAGAGGTTGTGGCACATTCCTCTGATTGAACCCTGGATGTTTACTCTATCATGGAAAAATACTTTACAGTTGGCCTTAGGAGTCGATGAAGAATATCAACATAGTGTTCTGGGGAAATCTTCTGTGATCGAATCAGGCTGTTTCCTCCATGATACGAAAGAACACTTGTGAATGTTCCTAGGAAACTGATGAAAGAAAACCTCAATCGAATGATGAACTTCTTGGAAAAAGATTCTCCTCAGATTCCAGCATTGCTGAAGATTTCTAGCAGGATCTGCCAAACAATCAAGTTGGGAATTCACAAAACAACTCTTGAAATGGCCACTTGAAGTCAAATTTGTAAAATGTATTCATTCATCCAGTACCGCAAGCCAAATCATCAGTCTGGAAATTAGTGGCAAACTACATAAATTTTGCTTGCATTGAAAAAAAAAACTGGTTCCACTCTTAATTTCCATTTCAACAGGAATTTGGACGTCTTGCCCCAATTTTAACGAGCAGGATCAGTAGGGGGTTTTTTAGCATTCTTGGGTTTTGGGGGTATCGTGTTTATTCTTTTGTACAAGGCCTCTTCCTTTTGGTACTCGTAGACATTTTTTATAGAGTGAGCAGTCTTGAGAGCCACAGCTGCCACAGTCACAGTGTAAAACATGCGATGGATCAAGCTCATTTTCACAGTGCAATTTAATTTTGTTCAAGCTAAATAAAAATCCTTCGCTTTCATAGAAAATTTAAGAAGGAAGTCTTGTGTATCTATGGTAACAAACTGTAATTTTGTCCCATATGTGATGAATCTTGACACTTGTTATTTTTAATTTTTCAAATCACTGCAGGGCAAGTCTTTTATAGTTTGATCAATATGATGAATTTAATGCACTTAAAAAATGTTATATTATAAAATCAGTTGGATATATCAATGTCAAAGGAACAGATAATTATTCCTTATCGCGTTAGATTATATTTATTATAGGGGTTGGTACTTGCCTTTTTTGGTCTACTTTTAACAATCATTTGTAGATGAGTTAGTTAGAGGATGTGAGCTGTGTTCCAAGTTTTGGAATAGACTAACCATGGAGTATGTTTAATCTTTTCCATTTTAAATTTGCTTACACTGTCATCTATATACATTCTTTGTAATTTAATTCATATAAAAAACAACCCCTTAAAATTTTCTAGCTATTCTTATCCATGCAACACGAGGCACAAAAACAACCTAGTCACACCTCAAATCAGACTTTCAAAAACTTTAAATAGCCATTTTTACATCCAACATAGTTTCTTCAACAAGCTACCAACTTGTTTTTGTGAACTACCTTTAAAACAATTAAAAAGAAAAACGGGATATGTTAATGATTTTGCCGCGATAGTGGACGCGACGATGAAGTTTCCGAAACCACGGGAGACGACGATGACCTTTCCGTGACCGCGGGAGACGACGATGATGTCTACACGGCTGCGGGAAATATTCATGATTTTGTCGCAATCGCCGACGACGACGATGACGTTTCCGTGACCACGGGAGACGACGATGAAGTTTCCGTGACCGCGGGAGACGACAATGATGTCTACACGGCCGCGGGAAATGTTCATGATTTTGCCGTGATCTCGGACGACGACGATCACGTTTCTGTAACCGCTGCAGTCAATGATGATGTCTAAACGTACCGTACGCGGAAGATTTCATGATAAAAAAAAACCAAATTTGCTAGTTAGAATTTTTTATTGCTGCATTATTTCTTTACTTGAACACACCACATTATCATAATACTACTTTATGACAAAGACAAAGAGTTGGTGTGGTATTATTTAGAAAATTTGGTTAAGCTATAAAAATTGGTATCGGTATCAAGAATTGAGAATCGATACATTTTGGTATCAACACCCACTAATTGTGGAAAAAACTAGTCTTGAAAAATCTGGAATTAGTCTTGAAATGTCTGGAATTAGTCTTGAATTTTATAATGGAAATAAACTAGACACCCTGGAAAACCAGGAATTGCAGCTTAATCGTAAATGTTTTACTGCGTATCTTCGCAGAATCCTTCTGCAATCGCAAAAACATAAGCTTGACTCTATCCAATCTGGCCCGTACCGACCCCTTGAGCCAACTGCGTGGCCAACACGGCCAAAAAAGTTGTGTATCGGCAGACCCCTAATTATTTTGAGCTCTAGTGGAATCGCAATCTACTATGAAGTCTGAGTCATTCCACTTGTGTTATCATTTAATTATAACACCAATGTTCTTTCACCTTCCCTCAGGTACACAGACTGACCTCAAGTCCTACAGTGTGGGAGGTACTTCAGATGCTCAGTTGTCTGCCAGTGTGAGGGAGAGACTGATGCAAGGGTCCCAGACTCTACCCAAGCCTAGGACTGACACTGGCTGTATCTAAACACCACTGTCTGTTGTACAGGTGAAGGTGTCTGGAGGTACACAGACTGACCTCAAGTCCTACAGTGTGGGAGGTACCTCAGGTGCTCAGTTGTCTGCCAGTGTGAGGGAGAGACTGATGCAAGGCTCCCAGAGTCTACCAAAGCCTAGGACTGACACTGGTTCACTGTCTGACTCTAACTACACTGAGCTGAGCCCGTACAGCGCTATGTACAGACACACCACCGCCTACACCTCCTCCCTGCCTGCAAGAGCTACTGCAGGTAAGATTCAGCATAGAATAGTAGTTTGGTTAAATTACATTCTGTATGTGGGCTTGCAGCATATAAAGGAATACTTCAACCGGTTGATACAACATTGTACATGTTTTCTCCCATATTTCTGTCAAATCGTATACACCTTTTGCGGTCTCAGTAATATCAAGATAAATTCTGTTTGGTTACGACAAAAGTGTTTACATCTACCATGATTATCGTAATAGTTACAGCATCATGTGCGGTCATGTAAACGTCATCCACAGACAGTGTAAAATCATTAATGTCTTCTGCGGTCACACCGATATAATAAACATATTTTGTGGTCATAGCACAATTTTTAACTCCATGGTCATGAAAAAAATCATGAACCTTCACAGCAAATCGAGAACTTCCTCAGCAGTCAAGTTCATCTTCTGTGACCGCAGCATATTCTTAAACATTTTCTGCGGCCAGGAAGAAATCAAGGAACATCTTCTGTTGTCACAGCAAAATTGTAAACAATCTTTTAAGGCCCTGGTGAAATAGTGAACATCCTCTGCCGTCACAACCAAATTGAGAACATCTTCAAATTATTCTGAGGCCATAGCTAAATTACAAACATTTTCTCCGGTGGCAGCAAAATCAAGGACATGTTCCACGGTCACGGGCCATGGCCAAATTGAGAACATCTTCAAATTATTCTGAGGCCATAGCTAAATTACAAACATTTTCTCCGGTGGCAGCAAAATCAAGGACATGTTCCACGGTCACGGGCCATGGCCAAATTGAGAACATCTTCAAATTATTCTGAGGCCATAGCTAAATTACAAACATTTTCTCCGGTGGCAGCAAAATCAAGGACATGTTCCACGGTCACGGGCCATGGCCAAATCGAGAACATCTTCTGCGGTCATAATCATCTCGATAGTGGCAAAACGTCGATCTTTACGTACTATCGCTGCAAAATTACTCCACTGTCTTACATTATTTCACTTATCAGAAGTTTATGGTGACAGGCTGTCGATGTACGAAGAAAAATAAATATACATTTGATCTGAAGGTAAGGGTCTAAGACAGTGTTTCCCAACCAGTGTGCCGCGGCACACTGGTGTGCCCGTAGGCCTCTGTAGGTGTGCCGCGAAATTTTAAGTAGTTAAACAATTTTTTGATCAAGGAAGAAACTTTTAATAAACAAACGGGTACAGTTTCTTAACTGGGCTATGCTAATATCGATTGAAACCATCGAATTGAAAATACTGATTAATAATCGATATTTTTAAATATATCTATTATTAAATTAAACTATCATAACCTAACCTAACCAACCAATCTTGCTGATAGTGAAAAAATCGCATGAAGGTTTACTTATCGAATCAATGGTTTCAATCAATATTAGCATAGCCCAGTTAAGAAACTGTACACAAACAAACGTCACGCACAAGTTTCCCACTAGAACTGAAACCAGGGTTTATTTAATATTTCTCACTCATTATTGGTAAATTCATACAACATTTTAATCAAGCTCAATGTTTTGTTATTATTTAAAACTTTTCACTTAATAAACACTAAATAATGTACATGTTGGATAACAAATATGAGTTTTATATTTTTTACCTTGGTAAACCCACCTTTATATTATATACATACATATATTTACTAGTAAAAAATAGGTTATACGGAGTAAGATGTAATTGAAAAAAAAAACAATTTTTTATGCACTAAATGTAATTTTAACCAACGATATTTTGTAGACAAGTGTGCCGTGACTACAAACTTGTTCTAATTAGTGTGCCCTGAACGGAAAAAGGTTGGGAAACACTGGTCTAAGACATATAGAACATCTACAATATATATGAGTGTCCCACTGTAGTTTACTCATGTTGTTTGTGTTTATAGGTGGTCTTATAGAAGCAGACAGTATAGAGTCGTTGCCAGCGCAGCTACACCACCGCGCCAGCCTCACTCATCCTCGTCTGATGAGCTCTCCTTCCCCCTCCCCTTCACCTACTGCTGCCAACCGCCTCAGCAGAAGCAACAGCATCAGGTGCGCCAACCTTTGTATACCATTAGTAAAAATAATTGCTACAGTTAACATTATTATTATTATACTAAGTATGGGTTGTAGTTAAGGATTGTATGATTTTTGGAAATGTTTGATAGCTTAGTTAATTTATTGCAAAGTTTAAAACAATTGTTGTTGGGAAAGCAGGCTTGTCTAAAGGAAAGGAGTCCAATTTGCAACAAGAAAAGCAAAGTTCACACACTTAACATTTCCACTGTCTCTAAAAGCAGTTACAATCAAAGACACTTTTAGTTCAGGGCCTACATTAGTCTTTGTGAGTAACTCATTTTATATTCCTATCCTATACAAGGTTTATAGGGCTGAAAGATAAGAATTTAAAATCTACAAGAATGTTTAACTGTTATAATCAATGGTATGTATCTCGACAATATATTTTTGTTATCTTTAAATTATTTGAGCAAGACAAAAACACATCTATTTACCACCACTACATGTTGGGGGTGTTAAACAGAATCAAAGCTAGAGTACGATTACAGAGTATTTTATTTTTCAGCTACCTTCGAGAGAGGACGTTTCCAAGGTAGATTGTTTGTGTGATTGGCTTATCCCAACGGAACTTGTTGATTTCTATACCGATCTGTGTGCCAAATGAGTCAATAGTAAAATTTTCAGATGACACGCCCTATCTCTGTGTGGCTTGTGTAAGAATGAACATTTTCAATCGTTCAATAAGAAATTATAGTTTCGTTTGGCACACGGCTCGGTGCTTAGCATGGATCCTCACATCGCTTCAGCAAGTGTGTAAAAGTGTGTCCTGCTTTTGTAATAGTGTGCGAGTGCCTCACAACCACCTGACTGTTTACACCTTAGAAATTGTTAACATTTTGCAGATTTGAATTTGAGGTTAAGATTGGCCGATTTTCACAACTTAAGGTACAAATAGGCCTGGTGATTTTGTTATCAAAGTTTCACAAGCAACTACAGCTGTTTTGTGCTGCAGAAAATGAAGCATTTCAGGCCTAAATGTAAGCAATTTAAACTGAAGATGTGCACAGTTTTCTGCTGCAGAAAACTGCTATAGTTATTTGTACAACAAATCAATTAAAATGTAGCCTACATTTTGAAAATTAATGTAAAAAACTTTGCGGTAATACATAGTAACAAAAAAAAGGTAAAAAATACATATTATGTGGATAACACCACAAAATAAAACATAAGCAAATTTTCAGTATAACTAAAAAATAACTTTTAGTTTGATTAGTATTATAATGTTTGTATTTGGTTGGTTTAGGTAATGTTAATATGGTTCCATGTTGTGTAAAATATGAAACCATGCTAACCTTACCTAACCAGAATAATAATGCAATAAGATTATTAAGAGCAAAATTGCAAAACTGTAATGGTTTTTGATTTATCGAGACATCACTCACTTGACATAACTATTCATCCATCACGAGTTATTGATGTGTTTGATTCACTGTTACAGGTCTACCAAGTCAGAGAAGCTCTACCCGAGTATGCTACAGAGGTCGGAGGAGATGGACCCGTACTATAGTGTCCCATACAGTCTGGGTCCACACTCGTCCCAACCCACCAGTCCCACACCCTCGCAGATGTCCCAGGGGACACTGTCAAGGTACTATATCTACTTAGTCTGATATGGGGAATGGACGATAGGTTTGGTCGACTTTTCTGCTTTGGAGAGTTATAAATTTTAATCCTGACGAGGTATGAGGCGGGAAGCATGCAACCAAGAGAATGTGATTTAGGATTGAAAGAAAGTTTTTCTCACCAGTTTGATTCCCTGAATCAGATTTACCTTGGACTGAGTTAGACATTTCTCGTTTTAGTCTGGCAGTATGATGCAATAGCTGGAGTTAAATTAAACTCGGCACCTCTTTCTGTTGGCCAAACTTAAAAACACTGGTTGGTCCATGCATTATTATGACTGTAATACAGTCAATGTGCTTAATTTTTGGGGGAGCTGGTCTAGTGGTTAGAGCGTGGAACTTTGGTGCATGAGGTCCCAGGTTCAAATCCTGCCAAATCACCAATGGATATTATCTATGTAATAATGCACAACCCCTAGGTCTAGCCTGAAGTAATGTGAAAAACAATTCTGGGCTCGTGCCTAGCTTCCTAGGACAAAAAAGGTGTTTAATTTAAGCTTAAATTAAATGTAGAATCAGTTAGAATAGAGTGAGATGATCTTTGTAGGTTCGTTATTGACTGGGATCAGGACCAATTTCGTTAGCTAGGAACCCTTCCCTCTTCCCTACTCTTAAGTTGTTATTTGTGAAATTTATATAAGTTAACAAAGTTTCTTTTTTTAGGTTCAACTATCCGATATCACCAATCAGTGCATCACCTTCGAGTCACATGATCAACAGGAACTATCCGTACTCTGGTCTCATGAACAAGATGGGCTCCAAGGATGATGATGGTGAGTTACACAGAGTCTTAGAATAAAAATATTTTCGTAAAAGTCAATCCATATTTTATCTCAACCCATAAAAAATTGCTTGGCTTTACGCTGTGACCAAAACACCAACGTTTGGTATTGAAACGATTTTTTTTGTGTGTTATGGTTTTTTAATCACATGCAAATATGAATCTTTTAATTTTTACATAATGCAAATTTAATATAGGAAAGACTTCCACGGTCACTAACAGTAAAACTTCCAGTCTTGAGGGTCTGATTGCTTCATTAGACAACCATTTATGACTAAAGGCTGATGACTCGTCCTTTTTACAGAAAGCCGTCACTGGAGCAGTCAACCGGACCGGTGTCTGGCGCTACTATCCTGTTTTGGTTTATTGTTCTGATGATGGCTTTTAGTAACAAGGCCAAAACGTCAGAATTATAAGTTTGGTCTGTGATGCAGTCTGACCCTGAAGACCAATTTTGTGGTGATAATGTAAATTTGTCTTTTTCTTGTTGCAGTATTTCAAACATTATTTATTTATTCAAACTACATTTTTCTCACTTGTTACAGTGCACGGGTCTGCTGTGAGTCTTGTGTCGACTGCGTCGTCGTTGTACAGCACGCCGGAAGAGAAGCAAGCTCATGAGCTGCGGAAGCTACGACGGGAACTCGGCGATGCTCAGGAGAAAGTCCACACGCTCACTAGTCAACTCTCTACCAATGTGAGTAAATTTTACTTACTAACTTAGTTAAGTCGTTTAAGCTCTGTGTAATGTCATGAGTTTTATCTAATGTCACCTGTGTAGCTGTCAAAGGGGTTAATTGCAGTGTAAATATCATCTATGGCACGTCCACTTTCAGAGAATTGGGTTTCATCTTGTTGCCCCAGATCTTGTCATTCACTAATTGATTTTAGTTACGCGATCATGTTGCGGCCCTGTATGCCTTCCTTTAAGTTATGTGCAAAACAGTTCCAGTCTAGGGTGTCTTGTGATGTGAAGGAAGAGCATTTAAAATGTTTAAGGCCCCTTTTATGCACAGCAGTAGCAGTTTTTATTGCCCCGCTAAAAACGAGCAGCTGCAAAATTGTCAAGTGATTACAGTAAACTTACACGAGACGTAACATTTAGAGGTGTAACACTTGAGACAGCAGTGCAGGAATACAAAGCAATACTTGTTGATTCTGAGGATCCAGAGGCTAATCCATCATGAGATTGAAACTTTATGCATTTTTTGCGGCTGTAAAAGGACAGAGGCTTCCTGAACATGGTTAAGTTTTGATACCACTCATATAGGTGCATAAGAATAATAAGAAGGTTTTTGGTCTCATAAGCTCAATATTTTTGTTTTATTTTTACATCCCCTTCGGACATCCAAAATCCTCATGTTATTCAGCTCTTGATCTCTCAGTTTCAGCCTAAAGTGGTCTTTTGCCTTCTACATTATTTTCTGTTACCATTCTTAAACTGGAATTGAGCCAGCTGTGTTAACAAGGCCTGAGAGATTTACAGCTGTGGTAATGATATATGTTCATCATAGACTGTTAAATCTCAAAAAGTTTTTATTATTCAAATTTCTTAGTCGTAAACTGAGTTATAAATAACAAGCATCACTTTGTTTTCAAAATCTAGTAGTTCTTTTCTAATTCCGTGTAAGGTTTCCATTTGAGTTCCATGAGAGTGATATGAGAAAGAGTTGAAACAATATTAAGGACGAGTTGTGTGATATTAGGTAACACAAATAATAAGTCTTCTAACTAAGTCCAGGCACAGCATGAACAATGAAGTCGTGCAAGGCATTTTTTTAGTAAGGTACTATCTATTATTATTTAGACCCAATTGATAACATCCCAGAGGCCGCAACCCCCAAAATCTGCAGGCTCCAAAATTTGCGGGTAGGGCCAGGTCGGAAATAATTTTTGGGCAAAGTTTAGGTTGGATAAATTATTTTGAAGACTACAAGCATCTTGATTTTTTTAATCGCAGAAAGTTACGACAAAGAAGCGGTGATGACAGGAGACTTTCACGCTCTTGATACCATATCAAAACATAATAAGGAATTTCTGAAGTCATCACGGATAGCTGTAAACACAGAGGATGATCATGTTTTTTGCAATGATAAAAACATATGATGGTTGTGTCTCTGTGACTACAGAAAAGTTCATGACTTTGCCGTAATTGCAGGAAAGTTCATGATTTTGCCTTGATTGCAGAAGAGTTCATGATTTTTCAGCGACCAGATGAGATGTTAATCTAAAGTACTGTATTAATAAATAAATAATGTACAACACTTTATAAGTACCGATTTTAGCATGAACATTAATATTAAAAAAGAACAATACTTTACAATGCAATTTGATTTTGGCCTGAGACCTGAAAGTCCAAATATCTGACCCAAAGTAAAAACTGGCCCGCAGACCAGACTATGTTTTGTCATAGATTGTTGTTTCATCAAAGAACAAACAAAATTGTACTCAACTGCAGCTCATAAAAGCAAGCGGTCTAGCGGTTAGAGTGCTTAACCGCCTTGAAGGCACAGGTTCAAGCCCCACCAATCAATCACCAATGGGGTTCAACCTTGTGATAATTCCAAAATCCTATGGTTCAGAATAGGGATGGACGAGATTGGATTTTTAGTTCGAGACGAGGCGGGATTTTTTATTTCTCATTAAATTTCGAGACGGGGTTTCCCTTCTCATAAATAATTGGAAATGCACGTTTAACCTGATTTTTTTTACATTTTTAAATACCTACTGATTTATGACAGACTGGTTAGATACAAAAATAATAATAATAGACAATAATATTAAAAATCTTTTAAATGACATTAATATAAAAAAAATCAGTATAAAAAATAATAAATTTTTTGGTAATATAAATTTTGTTTAATATATTTATATATTTAAATATATATTTGTATATTTATATATATATTTATATATTTATATTTATTTTTATTAATATTAAAAAAGGCTTAACTTATTAAAAATAACTCTTCGGCATGGGAAACATGGAGATATCATTTAGTAGTTTAACTTTGAAAAACATGGATACATCATTTAGTAGTTTAACTTTGAAAAATATAAAATTTATAAGTCTAAAACAACAGTATTACTAGTTAAGTATAAAGTAACAATGTTTAAGTCTTGTGTATTTTTTTAGAATGATTTTGGAGTGACTTATTTTGGCTATCTTTACAGTAGTAAAACATGTCTCACACTGCTTACACAAACATAACTTCTGATCATTTGCTATGTCAAAAAACATTATAAAACAATTGAAGCAATATTTCCATGTAAAGAATTAATAATTAAATAAAAACGCCTTCGCAAAGGAAACACAACCATCAACACACTCCTGTATTGCGGGTACTGCATTGACTTTCTGCAGGCGTTTTTTTTTAAAATTTTTTTATCTCATCTCGAAAAAAATCTTCACTAAAATAGAATCTTGTCTCATAGAGCGAGATTTAAAATTTCTTGAAAATTTCCCGAAATTTCGAGACCCGTCCATCCCTAGTTCAGAACCCACCGTATTCTGACATTACGGTAGTATGAAGGCAGTAAATGCATTAAAACCTTTAAAACCTTAGGCATCTTAACGCTTAGAATAAAAGGTTGAATAAAATAAACCTAAAAATAAAAAATTCAATTCAAGGTGCTGATTTGATATGTTTACTTTAATATTTACAATAGTAGCTGTTTATCAAATCAATTCTGTAACCCTTAGAATATAAAAAAAATTTAAAAAAATATTAAATTACATGAAACAGTTTCAAATAAAGATAAACACAAATATGCCATCGAAAAGGTATGAATAAATTAATATTTTCTTCACAAATAACTTTTTTTAAGTATAAAAAAGTGCTTCAGAATCTTTCCTTGAATTTCATTTCATTCAAATTATAAAACTGTAGCGGGCCACGAAGAAATGTGTAATTCTCTTTAACTTTAAAAACTTAAAACTGCACAAAATAAATGTAACAAGTTTTCTTACAGTTCCCCAGACAGTTTAAAATTTTTTTTTAATTTGTACACCACTAACTTGTTTAAAAGATCTAATTTATAAAGATTACTGTATATAACGGGCTTCTGACTGTTTAAAATCCTTTGACAAGTTTCAGCAAGGAAGTGCATTGTCCAGTGACAGTGGCGTGTGTCAGTTCTCAGTTGATGGGCACAAATTGAATAATGATGTCTCTTTATCTCCTCCTTCCTCCCCCCAAACAACACACACACACACTCTCTCTCTCTCTCTCTCTCTCTCTCTCTCTCTCTCTCTCTACATCTCTGGACCTAATGCATGTCAGAGTGATTCAGTAATCACTGGACGCTGAACCCTGAACGCTATAACAGTTTTAGTTGTTATAATTTACTTTCAAATAGGTTTACTCTAATTTAATGATAACTTTGGCTTTTATCAATCATATTACCTGTCATCTATCCTATCTGTTATTCTCAAAAGATTTTTTGTTGTTGTTGCCAACGGAGTTCTTAAACAAAAGAGTGATTGACAACTTTTCTTCTTGGGAGGCAGCCGGATAGAAAAGAAATTTAAATTTGACGGTTATATCTAATGTACATCTCAGGTGTACTGTCTATGGGATGGCTTGATGGAAATGGCTCACCAGAAAATTTTCATAAGAAGTTGGACTTTTTAGCGCATTTCCCCCATGCAGAAACCTTGACCCAGAAACCATGTACTTTTCTTATTTGCATGGGTATTTATTATTTAATTGATAAATAATAAATTTGATAAATTTAATAAAAATGTTAATATGTACATATTATTTATTAAATATGTAGGGGTATTTAATTTTTTAAAATTGTTTTTCTTATAATCCACACATAAAGCTTAATATATAAACAAAAGAAAATTAAATTAAACCTTAAAAGATTCAACCATGATTGACGTCACGACACAAGTGTGCCAATAGTGCCAACCGTTGTAGCAAACACTTTGAGAGTGCCTCTGCGACCGAAGCAAACAAATAGACCCATACAAACAAACAACCACTTCTCTCAGGACCCTGTTTTGCTCATATATTTTTCTGTAACATGTTTGTAACTGTTTATTTTCTAGTTGGATATTTCGGGGCTATTAGAAAAAATTAGAGGCTTGTCAATAGTTTTTGTCCATTCAATCATCAAGGATTTTGATGGTACATGATTTTATGTACTGTTGAGTGTCTATAGTTTAGGTATGTGATAAGCCCATGCCTTATTGTAATCTAACAGATCGATATATTGACTTTTTTGTCAAGTTATGGTAATTTCCATGTGTGTCTGTATTGACCAGTGATGCTCTCTTCGCTATGAATAAATATATTTCTGAGTGTATTAACGGAAATGAAAAAGCATTGACTGTGTTCATTGACCTTGCAAAGGCATTTGATTCCATTGATAGAAATATTCTTTTAAATAAAATGGACTGCATTGGAATTCGTGGTACGGCCCAAAAATGGTTTAGTAGTTATTTAAATAAACGTAGCCAGTTAGTTTCAATTAACAACAATTTTAGTGATATACGTGAAATAGACTACGGAGTTGTCCAGGGCAGTACGCTGGGACCATCCCTTTTTTTGATTTATATAAACAATTTAGACAAACTTCCAATCACAGGAAAGCTCTTTCTATTTGCTGACGATACTGCAATTATATTCAAAGGTAATACTTGGGACCAAACATTCAATGCAGCGCAAACAGATATGTTCCTTATGCAAA